TCGATCATATGATAAACTTAGGAATCATACGACCGTCAAATAGCCCATGGGCATCTCCGTTGCACATGGTCCCTAAAAAGGACAGCAACGATTGGCGTCCAACTGGTGACTATCGGCGATTGAATGCAAAACCCATTCCCGATCGTTACCCGTTGCCCCACATTCGCGATTTGACAGCTACCTTGAAAGGTTCAACTGTCTTTTCGAAAATCGACTTGATTAAAGACTATAAGCAAGTTCCTATAGCACTGAAGATATTCCGAAAACCACTATTATAACGCCCTTCGGACTCTATGAATTTTTGCGAATGCCTTTCGGTCTGAGAAACGCGGAACAGACTTTCCAAAGGTTCATAGATGACGTTTTTCGAAGTCTCAACTTCGTACATACATATGTTGATGACTGCCTAATAGCAAGTCCGGACAGAGAATCACATCTCCAGCATCTGGACCTTGTTTTCGACCGACTACAAAATCATGGCATTACTGTGAACATTCAGAAATGCCAAGTCGGAACCGACTCCTTAGACTTCTTAGGACACATTATCGATGCGCAAGGTATCCGACTCCTTAAAACAAAAGTGGCGGCCATTCTGGATTATCCAGAACCGACCACCATCAAACAATTGCGCACGTTTAACGGTTTGGTAATTTTCTATACACGGTTCATACCGAAATGCGCGTTACTTATGAAACCCCTTACAGACCAACTTCGTGGAAATGCGAAATCCATCAATCTGGATGACACCGCATGAAAAGCATTCTCCACGGTTAAGGAACGTATCGCTCAAGCGACCATGCTTGCTCACCAGGACCCTGGAGCGCCCATTAGTATCACAGAAGACGCATCCGACTCAGCAATCGGAGGAGTATTACAACAATGGGTTAACTACTCCTGGCAACCTTTGGCATTTTTCTCTAGACGGTTGCTAGACACTGAATCGAGGTACAGCACATTCGGTAGGGGACTCCTAGCTATGTATTGTGCTGTACGGCATTTTCAACACTATATCGAAGGCTGTGAATTTGTAGTGGCATTGGGCCCTACCACGAGACAATATTGGGAAATAGGCATTCAACATTTAACGCGGAGAAATACAGAAGAATGGAGAGTTGATCGGATGGCATGGCTCGGCCATACAGTTGTGGTCCCTGCTAAATATTACCTTATATCTTCTATTCATATTAAATATATTGTTCCATCTCTGACCTAAGATTGTTCTCTATCATGTATTGGTAATTGTTACGATGCAGTAAGTTGGTGTAGATGATGATATGACTTCCACGTAAGATCTTATAGATTAGGCAGTTATATCATGATAAATAAACAATTTTAGGATTAGGTCTATTATTAGAGCCGTGCTAATGTCATAATAGACCATAATTCTACAAATTCACCCTTTTTACCTACCATAAACCTCTTACCCTCTCTCTAAGCTCATCTTCAGACAAGTACTCACCACTTGAGTCTCGACAACTGGACTACATTTCGCAGTTTACTTCAGATATTCGACATATTTCTGGAGCAAACAATGTAGTTGCAGACGCTTGGTCCTGCATAAATTCCTTGAACAGTTTCCAAGGAATCGACCTTTTAAAACTCGCTCAACTTCAAAAAAAGACAATGATGTTCAGCACGAGTTAGCGTCAACAACACTTAAACTGCAAATTAAACAGATGGGAACAGGTAAGGAAACCTTACTTTGTGACACATCTACAGGTAGGGATCGCCCAATCGTGCCGAAACATTATCGACGCAACGTCTTCAATACGTTGCACAGAATCTCTCATCCAGGTGTTCGTGCAACCATCAAGCTTATAGCTGAACGTTTTTGCTGGCCTGGTATGAGTAAAGACGTGAGGGAATGGACACGCTCCTGTGTAAGCTGCTAGAAATCTAAGATTATTAGACATAAAAAATGTTCCCTAGGCTCGTTTAAAACTCCCGATGCTCGTTTTGACCATGTTCATTTGGATTTGGTAGGACCTTTGCCAGATTCAAATGAATATTCTTATCTTTTAACATGCGTAGACCGTTTTACTCGATGGCCAGAAGCAGTGCCCATCAAAGACATAACTGCTGAAACAGTGGCCCGCGCCTTCATCGAACGATGTGTATCAAACTTCGGCTGCCCAACAACCATCACTACAGATCGTGGACGTCAGTTTGAATCTGAATTTTTCCGTTGTCTAACCTCAAAATTAGGAATCACTCGCTTCCGAACGACGGCCTACCACCCACAAGCAAACAGGTTGGTAGAACGTTTTCACCGACAACTAAAAGCGTCACTATCAGCCTCAAACATTTCTCAGTGGACTGACGCACTTCCACTCGTCTTACTAGGTATTCGCAATGCAGTGAAAGCTGACATTGGATAAACTGCGTCTCAACTCGTTCATGGAACGACCCTTCGACTTCCAGGAGAATTCGTGGATCCTTCATCCTCTTCGATGAACATGGATCTAACCTCCAACACGAACAGGCTTACAAACGCAATGCGTTCAGTTAAACCTGTTTCCACTCGACCACAATCAACTGATGTTTTCGTTCAACCTGACTTACGACATAGTACACACGTTTTCGTACGTCGAGACTCGCATCGACGACCTCTCGAATCAACATATGAAGGACCTTTCAAAGTTCTTCAACGCAAATCTAAGCACTATATAATCGATAAGAATAGGACCAATGGAAGCATCAGTAACGATCGCCTCAAAGCAGCGTATTTGGACGGAAATCCTATTCACGTCGATTTTCCTTCAATACAATCGCACAACACTACTCCTGCACTTATAATACCTCAATCGACAGCAGACACACACGTTGATACTTCGGCGATATCAAAAAATAAACTCAAAACAACGCGTTCTGGAAGAAGAGTAAGATTTTAAGAACATTTGAACGATTACTGCACGTAAGATACAAGTTTACATTTTACATCGTCTCGATTTTCCCCTGTACTATATATATTTTAAAAAAATCCGAATTTAATATACTTTTATATCTTTATTATTTTTCTATTTAAAAAAAATATTTTAAAAATCCTTTTTTTACACTATTACGTGAGCATTGTGCTTTCACGCGCGTACGAGTGTATTTCGACATGCACTTACATATTTTTTTCTTTCCCAGGACGGCTGGAAAAGACGATAAGAAGAACGATGAAGTTTGCGAGAAACGGAAATCTTCATTGTACCTTTTCTTTTTTTACTATATTGTACATCATGGTCCATTATAGTAAGGAAAGACGACCAGACGCTGCTTAACCTAGCAAGCTATCAGAAGAGTGTTTACCAACGAAAAACTCGTTGGGTTCAAACTCCTGGCTGGCCATATCTTAGGCTCATTACTACCCCACTAGTGGGAAGTGATCTGTAGCGGTAAATAATTCCTCAAAATCAAATAGCTCTGTAAGTTTTCGACACTGGATGCTGACCACAGTTTTAATGGACTGATCTAGCTAAAGGCGCTCGGTCAAGCATCTGCACCAGATCACGTATGGGAACACCGTGCTCAACATCTGCCGCAATTGCTAGCCAGATTAGTTCAAACGATCCTCGATATATTGATAGCTTATCAAATATATCTTCGATCTCCTCACTTCTGTCTTTTGATTTTACTTGGTGGGTGCGCTTCATATTAGAAGGTGTTACTGGTTAAAGCGTTGTCAAACTCCGAATACCTGTGGCATCTTCAGTCCATTTTCATTTGTCTCCATAGTAGTTTTTTCCTCTTTCATTAGAACCTTTAGGGCTTAGAGCCTGTTGCTGAAACTTATCTTGAATTAGTCAATGTTAGTGGTTGAGTAGTTGTCAAACGTTGAATACTTGTGACAACTTAAGAACCATTAACTAGAAATGTCACGCCTAAATGTTTAGCTAATCTGTTGTGGTTACACTTCAGTGACCTGTACATACTTTCTTCGCCTGTCCGGTTAATCTCTTGGTCATATATCTGCACATATTAACTATTTACTATTAACTATCAAGTTTAATGCCTGATATTTGTATGCCCTTAATTTGATTTTCTTTTACCAAACGCCTCTACATTACGCGGCCGTGTTTTATTTGTTCTGTATTCATATAAAGACGACTTGAACCTAAAGATTCCAGTCAGGATTTCAATTTTTCTCTCGTTCGGCTCAATATAATTTTCACAGCCACTTGCTCAATCTAATAGCTTCAATCTATGCCTGAAATATACATTTCCCAAACACAATCTGGATTCGAATTTATTTCTATATTGTATTCGGAGTTTGACAACGCTTTAACCAGTAACACCTTCTAATACGAAGCGCATCCACCAAGTAAAATCAAAAGACAGAAGTGAGGAGATCGAAGATATATTTGATAAGCTATCAATATATCGAGGATCGTTTGAACTAATCTGGCTAGCAATTGCGGCAGATGTTGAGCACGGTGTTCCCATACGTGATCTGGTGCGGATGCTTGACCGAGCGCCTTTAGCTAGATCAGTCCATTAAAACTGTGGTCAGCATCCAGTGTCGAAAACTTACAGAGCTATTTGATTTTGGGGAATTATTTACCTCTACAAACGTTATCGATCAGAAGGCAAACAGACTTACATAAAATGCATGTTCCATAAACATAACCTAGCTATAACCGTCAATTGTACCGAGCCAACAGAACACGAAAAAAAGTTTAACATGATAAACAACCATACGCAACATATATATTTTGTGAACAAATACAGCACAATTGGTACAGTAGACTAAAAATGCAGAAAACATAGCCCCTTAAATCCGATGCAGCTTGAGAAGCTACTACGGATGACAAAACAGGTGGCCAAATAGTTCTGAGATAAAACACAATACAAAATATTATAAAAACAGATTCAAAAAGTTTGTTTACCTACTAACTGAGTCACTTGTGCTCAGTGAAGGAAAAATCCAAAAGATCAATGAAGTTATCGAAAAAGATCAAGTCTTGGATTTTTTTTCAAAAAGAAAAATCTCTCGACATTTGAAACGTACTGAGCGACAAAATTTAGCGGGAAAAATGCTTTTTGCGTTGCGGTAGATCTGCGTTTGCGTTAGTTAATTTAGGTAAAACTATATTAGCCAATATAAAAATACGCCTTAGTTTCGATGGCTTAAAAAGAGGTAATGTATGGCAGATTAGTAGTCTTAACATCGTAATTGAACGGAGAATTGAATATTAAATGCCTTGTCAAAACTATGATTTTGGATGCGAAGCTAGATTTTAGGCGCATATAGTCATAAGCTGAGTCAATATTCTAATGTTTAGTAGTCGTAAGATCTGGGTAGCTAGGATTGAGATTGTTAGCCTTAGGATTTTAGGATCATAACACGTGTTAAGCGTTTAAGAATGGTGTTATTTCAAAAACGTCGTCTTGCTTTGAACGTCATAGTGAACTTTCAGATACGCTGCATACAAAACTCATATTTCGGGTAGTTTACTTGACGAACAGAGTCAAGTGTACCGTGCGGTTTCGTGAAAGTTACTGTTGTCTATTTCACTCATTTTTGAAGCCAGTTGTATCCAGTGTTTGTTTTTCACTTTATATGTTTTATTTGACAGCTTGTAACCTATGTGCCAGTTCTAGTTGAATATCTAAAGGTCATCGCCTTAGTGTTTTTCCACCTAACATTTTCTTGATTCTATAACTCGGAGTCTGCAGCCTATGTAATTATGTAGCTATTTTTGTCTTTTGTCAAAGTACATTTCCTCAAATATGTAGCCCTGTGTTTTCAATCGATATACTGTCATTCTAGTCACTGCTTCTGGGAAACTTAGAAAAGTTAATAACATCTATTTGTGTTGCTCATAAATGACCAAAATCCATATCACTTTACCCCATCCAACATTTCAGGGATTAATTACCCTCTAGGAGATATGTTTATCCACCAATCCAGTTTGATGCAGCTTTTGAAAAAATACAGCTATGAACATTTGAAGTAACAATGCAATCATGATTATCACGTGTCTTTATCCTTGTAGTACTAAATGCTTCATGTCATCCCCTAGAATAATCATAGTGGGTGAAGTATTTGGGCATTTCAATCACTTAATTAAACCTAGTGGTTTGGTGGAATCTTAACGCGAGTTCGAAAATCTCTCTTCGCTTTTGTTAGATCAAGTTACTATTGTAGGCGGGATATCTGTCTGCTGGTATTGTAAAGCTTTTCCGTTTGAGGCTAGATTTCAATTGCTAAAACCCATGAATAAAATGATTATCGATTGATAAACGCAATGGTGTAATGTAATCCAGTAATGGGTACTTATAAAACCGAATGATCGATTTAGGACCCCGAATAATTAGAAATCAAAGACAAGACCATTAACCAGATGAATTTTTCATGTAATAAAATAACATTGTTGTATGCGAAATATGAGCACAAAGTGAACATAATAAAATGCTATGGGTGGTTGGAGGAAACTTGTAGATGATATGTTCTCCAATCAATCAATTCGAACCTGACTGTTAGGCCTATCTTTGGACATTGTGTCATCCTGCGAAAGGAGTATACTGTGCATCAGTCCAGTCGGAAAGAACTTAGAAGGGTCAAACCAAAATGTGGCGTTAGTCCGTGAATTTTTTGACTATTGATTCTCTAAGATCATCCATTTTTATGCACAGTTGTTTTCAATATCAGTGATACTGCTATAGTATTCATCTTGGCAATTCCATTTTGTCATTTTGATATGGTTTAGTAATTTGAGCCAAGTTCTATGTTGTTTATGGCTGACTTGTTGAAATGCTTCATTCAAGCATAACACCCGCTATAGCTTAGTTGACTACTTGGTGTTCTTTTAATTTTCGAAATATCATGTTATATTGTTTTATCTATTTCAGAATCGTCAACAGTCGAAGTGACGAATTTTTCATTGGTACTCCAACTTTCGGCACAAACTCATAGATGTAGCTTTTTTGTCCCGAACACTTTCATGTTTATTACCTGACAAGTTTCATAACTAAAAAAATATGGTTGTAGCTGTACTGTCTTTAGATGATGGGAGTGGAAGCAATAGTATAGTAAGTTTGATTGTATTATATGCTTTTTACACTGATATTATCGAGTACACCACTTTTATCTACTTAGACCTTTGATTCACAGGACTCAACTTTTTGCAGCTTGTTCAGTTTGAATGTTTATAGCTTGGATATTTTCTCTCATTATCTGGCATAGAACCAGGGTCATCGATAGCGAAACATATAATTGAAACGGGGCAAAAAATTGACATTAATGCAGCTTTTAAAACGTATAGAAATTGTCAAGGACCAATTCTGAAGTTTATTGAAGCCTTGACTATTCGTAAATTTAAACCCCCCTTATGTGTACAAAAACAATTTGTCGTAACCTTGAATTTACCTTGGTAATCCTTAAGTCATTCTATGGCCTAGGATAACGCGACAATTTCTTATTCTTTCTCTCCCCTTTGTTATTTTTTTTCGTTTGTTTGTACTTTAACTTTCATGTAATTGACCTTTATTAGTTTTTATATAAAATGCCCTGACAAGTATATGTGTGACCAGATTGTTCGAAATGTATAGCGCAAATACATCACATTTTTCAGATCAACTCCTTCTTATTGTTCTATCGAAAAATAGAACATATGTCTAAATACTGAGTTGGTTGTGACAACTTTACTCAAGGAAGGTAGAATGTCTTCAGCAGATTACATAATTATGCAGCATTTATCCAAGTGTTTTTCCTCCTGACATCTCAGTTCCGTGTCTCGGTAAACTGAACATAATTTTCCTTCATCAATGGGCTTATTAATACTTACTACTGAAATATAGATTTATATTTACTAACATGTAGTTCTACTCTGGATTCACAACAAAGGTGAGCTTGACTAATAAGTATGCACATATTAAGTCAGGAGAAATCTCTAAATAAAGTAATGTATAGGCACTTATTAGATTCTTACAGGTCCTACTTTTTAAATGTGGTTCGTATGTACACTTCTAAAGCATTCTAGCATTGGTATCTTAAAGAAAAAATCGATCCCCTGTTTTATGCATTGTTGCTTGTTCCAGCTTAATATTAAGCCGGCAAGTGTTTCATTCTATTGAAATCGATAGTACTAATAACACTATATCTAATGGAGAAGATAAAAGCAATAGAGAGTGAACGAAAATTGAAGAGAAGTAATGTACCAGTACATGTCATATCTGTTAGTAGTAAAATAAAAGTTAAAAAAGTGAGGGAAAATATTTCGAGATCTGAATCGTTATAAAAGCGACATACAAAGCAATGAATAATCCTGTTCAGTAGTATTAACTAGTTGAAAAGTTATGGAATTTCATCCCAAAAGGTTGTGTGTAGACAGTAGCTCTTAATGACTTATAGTTATTGTAAGTATAGATTACTTTCGTGTTTGAGTATTTTATCTCTGTTGAATCCGGGTAGATGGGGAGAAGTAAATTGCTTGCTTTGTTTCATCTTCATTTTGTTGTTGTTCAAATATAAGTCACCCATGGTTAATTCTCTTCTACCGTTCTAAGCTTCATCTTTTTGAAACTCCCTTTCTTCCATCAAAGTTTTTATTTGGTAAAGATCATTTGCATTTGAGATTCTTTTTATAATCCCTCATGTCTTACAAGTTTAGTATTCATAGTCAACATCATATAAGACTAAATATGGAAATGTTAGTTATATTAAGTTTATCAAGTTATGTTCTAGTGTCAACATATCTAGAATGTATTGTAAATAAGTTAGTGCAGTTTTGGGTTTATGAAACATTTGTCTGATGGGCTTAGGTTAAAGAAAAAACGCAAAGTGAATCAGAAAATAGTGAAGTAAATTATTCAATATCTCATAACATTAATGTGATCCTGTTCTATATATTCAGTCAGTCAGTCAGTAACAACGTGGAACTTCGTACCTACGTACATCAGTTCGAGTTGCCACACCACATTAGCACAGAGATCCAGTTATCGATTCAAATCCCGTAGTTCTATGTATTAGAAATTTCAATGTTACTTTGTAACTATTTAATTGTCTCCCACAACCCACATTCATGTTTTCTTGATTTTTACACAATCTCAAAGCAAGTATAATCATTTGTTTCGAACTATTAAGTTCGTAAAGTTATGGTAATCATGCTTTTTTTCTGTTGTAGAATTCCACCTCTATCCTCCCGGTAAGTTTCTGATCATAGATTATGTTTATGTACCCCATATGTTCATTTATTACTGATCCTTTATCGAATCTCTGAAATCACATAAATCTTGACATAGTAAAGGACATACGGAGGGAAAATATTGTTAGGAAACAAAGGAGAGAATAGTAGTACGGTCAGTAAAGAAATGACTAGAAATAGTATTTAGTGAGAGATACAGTTGAGTTAAAAATACAGCCAATATTTCGTTAAGGTATGAAAGCCCACCACACTATTATGATGAATGTATTAAAAAACTAAAGCTGGAACGCTACTGGCTACTATTATGCATTATATCTGATAACCCGTCAGTCCACTGAACTGCATCATTTCTGGGACTCTGACTGAACATTCATGATGGATTGAAATTCCAGTCTTATAAAACTATCACACCACGGGATTATACTATAGTGTGATCCATTTTAAAGTATTTACACGGTTGTAATCCGTAGTAATTATTTGCAGGAGTTTTTTAAATTGCTTCCACATTGCGTTGTTATCTAATATAGACGTTAGAGTAAAAAGTAGTTGTCAGAATCTTTGATTTAAAATTGGTTATGGAAATAAATTCTAGAACTTAAAAGTAACGAACGATTCAAGGTATATGTCACTAGTCGTTATGGGAATTGGATGAAGCAATTTTATTGACTTTCCTATCAATCAGAATCTTGATTATAAGGCTTACCCTCAAAATAACTATCAACTGTGACCTATGCTCATCGTAGATAGTATCATGCTTTCTACCTCCATTGCGGCATAAAGTCAAGCAATAAAGAGTGATCTCATACCGCGTGTCTCATCGGTTCCATAAAACGTTTCTTCAACTTAAGGTTTGGTTAACTTGCTTTAACTGTGAAGCTTAATTGTATCTGAACAGCTATTTCTCTATATCCCATTCACTGGCTTGTTAACGTATGCACAATATTATGTAACCGTTACTAAATTAAGAAAATGGCAAATTATCATTGTATCCACGTAGTTACATACTTTCTATCATTTCAGCTAAATATTTTTTTTAACCAATACTTCTCACTTTTTTTACTTTGAATCTAATCAACAGATGACTCAAGAACAGAAAGATTGGTTGTTAGCTATCGTTGACTGTGATCAGCCGAAAATGACAAGAATGCTTAATCAACACCCTGAATTAGCTGTATGGAAGGTAATTTTCATTTACTTTATTTATATTTTGTAACAGCTATTGGTGAATATATGCTGTACAATTATGTCGTTGCGTTTTGAGAATTCTCCTATTATGAACACCTTTTACAGAATAATGCTTAGCTTAATGTTTAATTAAAGTTGTTTTTCTATGTAACTATTAAACTCGAACGAAGCTGTATATTATTTTTAATAGCTGTTTTCAAGTGTATTTCAAATTGGTATTAATAAACTACTGATCAATACTTTATCAATATACCAACCCATATTAATTTTATATAAGACTTGGAATCACTTTGCATTTAGAGCCTCAGAAAATTGCGTTGTCATATATAATTAAGAAAAGTAATCTTATTGTACAACAATGATCTAAACTAATTATAAATTGAATGTGCTGTGTGAGTTCTTCATGTTTATGGCAAGGTCTATATTAAAGTGGCTGTTAGTCATGTGAGACATTTTCCAAGATCTATCATGTTACAACTTATGGCCCTGTCTAATATCACTTGATAAAACGACCAATCAAAATACGGAACGTCACAACCTTGTTTGTGAGCTGAATCGACCCGGATCCTTATTGGTCCTCGATACAGTAGCTTATCACATCCCTCTGCCCGTTGAGTCCAGAATGTAATAATCAGCCGGGTTGGTGGATATGGAGGATCCACCTAGGGAAGTTGAAAAACCTTGATTCCAAACCAATGGTTTACATGGGCTCCAGGATCCTGAAGGAACAATTGGCATATGAACCAATTATTGGTCACCGGCTCCCATGGGACTTCATCTCCTAACGTTGCTTCACTGCCTTGTGGATCAGACTTTTAGGTCGAAGGCTCCGGGTGTGGCCCCCTAAGAAAACCACTTGCTTCGGTTTGGGCACCCGGGTAGTATCATGGCCCACACACACAAATCAAGCGACTTGTGTGGCGCATATGTATTCGGTGCCCCGTTGTACTGATATTTATGTGATCCAATGAATGAATGAGTCAACCTCTGCTATACAAATATTATATTTTAGACATAGGTAGTTTATATACAAGCAGACCAAACCACATCAAACCAAAAAGTGGAAAATAACAATTACACAAGATCAAGCCACAGTGGCTGTGAGTAGCAGAGATTGTAAGTAGTAGATTGGGAATAAATTAGTAACGGTAAATCGTATAATAGCAGTTACTAGGTCAAACAAAAGCATGTGGTAAAAGGGGTGTAAATATATCTGGTCTGGTTACTTAGTAATTATACAGTATATATAAGCATTATTATAAATGTGCGTTATTTCAGTGTTCTTACGTCATACGTTCGCAACCTATCACTATGTAATTACATGAATATTCTGAATTTAAGACAGTTTTCTGTATAGAAATGAATGTTAATTGGCTATTTTGTCGTGTACATATCGGTTTTCCCTACTCTTCCATACTTTGTTTTCTCACCAAGGATATGCTTCAATAGGCTTTGGTTGTATGTCGTCAGCAATCGTTGGTGCTGCTACTTGAAGTTATTTTATTATTTCTTAAAACAACTTTATAACTAGAGGAAATATATTTAGTAATGACCATTGCGAACATTTGTTTTTGACCAGAAAACTCAATAAACCTACCAAGAAATATTAGCTAGATGTATATTTATTATGTACAGATATATTATATGACGTTGAAAATACAGTTACAAAGTGACGTACTGCGATGCCAATTAAGAATAACGGAAAAGTGTGCTTTTAGCAGTGATGAACAATATAGTCGTCATATAACAATCGGAGATTTAGCAGAAAAAAATACTAATTCGAGGTTGTACAAAACAAATTTTATGATAATGCTTCTTTGAAAAGTAGTTTGGAAGATCCAACCACTATTATCTGATTAATGGCTTTAATTCTTATATGATAATTACAACCTACATCAACAGCTTATTTTACTGTGCTGATATCTGTTTAAGTGTTTTTGTGTGTGTGAATAGGCGGTAAATATGAGAACATACTTTTAATGTGTTCAAATTTATTTAAAATTACTGTATTCTCATAATTTCAGTTGACATACCATCACCATTCACTTATCTGTCTTTTGTGAAACATATATTATAAGTGATTGGGTTGTAGTATTGATTTTCTAGCTGTTTAATCATAAACTGCCTACGAATAATTATTTATACTTTACGTGTCTGATTGTGTACAACTTTCTTATGGTCTCATATGATTATGCACACAATGTTGATGTATTTCAATTCTATTCGATTGTCAATTATTTTTGTTTTTTTTAGACTAGTATCAATGGAGTAAGTAAAAAAAGTATTTTGTATAAAATTTATTAGTTAAGATAAAATACAAAAATTTATTTTTTTTTAAGTTCTAATACATGATTAAAACTTTTATGTTAACTGAATACATTTGGTTAAAGATGGTGGAGAAGATTTGTAGCTCAGGTGGATGATTTTGATGGAGTTTTGTTCTCTGAGCTGGATGGTTTGGTCGTGGAGCTTTCATCGTTCTTCTGAACGACATCATCAGCACAAACTTCAGATAGAAGTGAAGTGTTCGAATTTCTCCATATGTGTTTCACAGCTTGTTCTGTGCACCTCGATGTTGATTGGTTCTTATTGACCTTAAATTTGTCATTGTTTACTTTTTTGTTTTTATTTTGTCCCCTATTGGTTTGATTCTTGTTCCTATATTCGTGCATAAGTTTCCTGATTGGTTGATAAATCGGATCAATTTCAATATGTTTGTTGATCAGCAATCAGCAATCAACAAACATATTGACGAGATTGTAAATCCCCATCAACTGATTTAGTTAAGACATGTATTATCTATCCCCTACCACCACCTGCCACAATATGTATTGTTGGTCGGTGTAAAGTTAGGTTGAAAGCTCGGGCGGTAAATCTAGGTTGAATTTAATGACTACTAGTTTGAGTCGTGTTAATACATCCAGACTATGTGGTTAGGATTTGCGCTTATCGTAAACATGGTTGTTATGCCTCAATATCATTCAAGATGGCGTAGATGCATTCAGTTGTTGTTGCCACTTAGATCATGAGTTCCGAAGTTTTCTAATACCTTTTTATTCCACGGGTTTTTATTCTTTTTCTTGAATCGTATCTTTTGTATCCACTCTTTTCTACAATTACTGATACTGTTACTACCCCTTGTGAGGGCCTCCATGAACTCCTCGCTATCATTCCTAGCACACTGTCACAAATCATTTGATATTCGTCTCGTTAATTTTCTGTAGTCGTACTTGTGTTTATGCCAGGCCCTACGTCAATTATGACTTGAATGACATTCATTTCATAATTTACTTTTCCAGGTACAAATCGTTGAAATCAAAAGGCTCCCAATTTATTGAAATCCACTAAAAGTAGTTAGAATTAGTTATCATTCTTGCTGTGACTTTATGTCCGGCTTTTTGTCACGTGATTTATCCACCAATCAAAATACGACTTATACAATCTTAGCACTGTGCCAAACCAATGACGTTCGACCGGTATGAGCAGCCCAGCGTCCTTATTGGTCCTATGTTCGCCTAACCCGTCCACTTGAGTCCAGAACACCAATAGCAGCTCCCACTATGCGAATCGGATCATCTATTTCAGGCATACGGGGTTTATATATTAAGCAAACAGACCGCAACGTACCATAAAATAGGAAATAAAATTTATACACAATAAAGCCAAAAAGTGGCTGTGAACGTGGGAGGCAGTAGTTGATAAAGTGATCATAATTCACTTACTTACTTACTTACTTACTTACTTACTTACTTACTTACTTACTTACTTACTTACTTACTTACTTACTTACTTACTTACTTACTTACTTACTTACTTACTTACTTACTTACTTACTTACTTACTTACTTACTTACTTACTTACTTACTTACTTACTTACTTACTTACTTACTTACTTACTTACTTACTTACTTACTTACTTACTTACTTACTTACTTACTTACTTACTTACTTACTTACTTACTTACTTACTTACTTACTTACTTACTTACTTACTTACTTACTTACTTACTTACTTACTTACTTACTTACTTACTTACTTACTTACTTACTTACTTACTTACTTACTTACTTACTTACTTACTTACTTACTTACTTACTTACTTACTTACTTACTTACTTACTTACTTACTTACTTACTTACTTACTTACTTACTTACTTACTTACTTACTTACTTACTTACTTACTTACTTACTTACTTACTTACTTACTTACTTACTTACTTACTTACTTACTTACTTACTTACTTACTTACTTACTTACTTACTTACTTACTTACTTACTTACTTACTTACTTACTTACTTACTTACTTACTTACTTACTTACTTACTTACTTACTTACTTACTTACTTACTTACTTACTTACTTACTTACTTACTTACTTACTTACTTACTTACTTACTTACTTACTTACTTACTTACTTACTTACTTACTTACTTACTTACTTACTTACTTACTTACTTACTTACTTACTTACTTACTTACTTACTTACTTACTTACTTACTTACTTACTTACTTACTTACTTACTTACTTACTTACTTACTTACTTACTTACTTACTTACTTACTTACTTACTTACTTACTTACTTACTTACTTACTTACTTACTTACTTACTTACTTACTTACTTACTTACTTACTTACTTACTTACTTACTTACTTACGCCTGTTACTCCCAATGGAGCATAGGCCGCCGACCAGCATTCTCCAACCCACTCTGCCCTGGGCCTTCTTTTCTAGTTCCATTCAATTCTTGTTCATTTTTCTCATATCTATCTCCATTTCCCGGCGTAATGTATTCTTTGGTCTTCCTCTCCCCCCTTCGACCTTGAGGATTCCATGTGAGGGCTTGTTTTGTGACGCAGTTCGGTGTTTTCCTCAATGTGTGTCCTATCCACTTCCAGCGCTTCTTCCTGATTTCTTCCTCCACTGGGATCTGATTTGTTCTCTCCCACAGTAGGTTGTTGCTTATAGTGTCCGGCCAGCGGATCTGAAGTATTTTGCGTAGACAACTGTTAATAAACACTTGTATCTTTTGGACGATGGATTTCGTTGTTTTCCAGGTTTCCGCCCCATACAGTAGAACTGTCTTGACATTTGTATTGAAAATTCTGACCTTGGTGTTGGTTGACAGACAGTTGTTTTGACTTCCAGATGTTCTTCAGTTGTAAATATGCTGCTGTTACTTTGCCGATCCGCGCATTCACATCTGCATCAGATCCACCGTGTTCATCGATGATGCTGCCCAAATATGTAAAGTTTTTTACATCTTCCAAATCTTCTCCGTCAACTGTGATTGGATTGGTGCATGCTGTGTTGTATTGGAGAATCTTGCTTTTCCCTTTGTGTATATTGAGACCTACTGCTGCTGAGGCTGCTGCTACACTGGTCGTCTTTTCCTGCATTCGGTGTTGCGTTTGCGATAGAAGGGCGAGATCATCTGCGAAGTCTAAATCGTCCAACTGCATCCTAGATGTCCACTGTATCTCGTGCTTCCCTTCAGATGTTGACGTCTTCATGTTCTAGTCGATCACCAGGATAAGGAGAAAGGGTGAGAGTAAGCAACCTTGCCTGACACCGGTCCTTACTTCGAACGACTTTGTCAACTGTCCTCCATGCACGATTTTGCAGTTTAATCCATCATAGGAATTCTGTATGATATTGACTATCTTCTGAGGCACGACGTAGTGTCGAAGAAGCTTCCATAGGGTTGTTCTGTCCACGCTGTCAAATTCTTTTTCGTAGTCAATGAATTTGATGTAGAGTGATGAATTCCATTCAATTGATTGTTCCACAATGATCCGTAGAGTTGCGATTTGGTCTGTGCACGATCTATCCTTAAGGAATCCTGCCTGTTGGTCTCGAAGTTGGGCGTCTACGGAGTCCTTCATCCTGTTTAATAACACCCTGTTGAAGAATTTTCCTGGTATTGAAAGAAGAGTGATTCCGCTGTAGTTGTCACAGTTGCTGAGATCGCCTTTCTTTGGTATTTTGACTAGAAGTCCTTCTTTCCAGTCTTTTGGTACCTGTTCCTCATCCCAGATCTTTGTGAAGAGAGTTTGGAGTATCCTTGCAGTCGCCGCTACGTCTGCTTTCAGTGCCTCTGCTGGAATGCTGTCTAGTCCTGTTGCTTTGCCACTCTTGATTTGTCTGATAGCCATGCTGATTTCTTCAATTGTCGGTGCGCCAACATCAATTGGGAGGTCCGTGAGTGCTGCTTCGATGTTGGGTGGGTTCAGTGGGGCTGGTCGATTCAAGAGTTCTTTGAAGTGTTCTACCCACCTGTTTCGTTGTTCTTCAATGTTGGTGATTATCTTGCCTTCCTTGCTTTTCACTGGTCGTTCTGGTTTACAGTGATTTCCAGAGAGTTTCTTTGTTGTGTCATACAGTTGTCTCATGTTTCCTTCTCAATGCCAAATCTTCCACATATTTACGTTTGTCAGTTCTGATGCTCCTTTTCACTTGCTTGTTTACTTCTGTGTATTCAGCCTGTGCCTTGACTTTTTCTGCTCTTGTTCGACTGGTATTGATTGCTGCTTTCTTGTTCCTCCTTTCTTGAATCTTATCCAGTGTATCGACCGTGATCCAATCCTTGTGATGGTGCTTCTTTTGGCCCAGAACCTCATGACATGTTGAAGTGATTGCCTCTTTTATCTCTTTGCATTTGCTCTCCATAGTAGTTCCTTCTTCATTGAGTAGATCATGAAAGGCTTGGAACTTATTGCTGAGGGTTATCTTGAATTTATTGAGTTTGTCAGTATCCCGAAGAAGAGCCATATTAAATTTTTGTGATATTGTCCTCCCCGTTGTCCAGTGCCTCTTGAGTTTCAATTTCATCTTGGCGACCAGCAAGTGATGATCTGATGCTATATCAGCTCCTCTCTTTGTTCTCACGTCCTCCATTGTCCTCCTGAACTTTTTGTTGATGCAGATATGGTCGAGTTGGTTCTGTGTGCTGTGATCCAGTGAAGTCCATGTGGTTTTGTGTATGAGTTTATGTGGGAGTATAGTGCCGTCTATGACCAGTTTATTTAAGGCACATAGGTTTGCGAATCTCTCACCATTTTCGTTCCTTTGTCCCAGTCCGTGTTGTCCCATGATCTCTTCATATCCGGTGTTGTCAATTCCAACCTTGGCATTTAGGTCTCCCATCAGAATGGTCAGGTCTTTTGTTGGGCACTTCTCGACGATTGACTGCAGCCTATCGTAGAATTGATCTTTAGCGTCTTCATTGTAGTCATTGGTAGGCGCGTAGCATTGGATGACGTTCATTGTAATCCCCGTTTTCTTTGTTTTGAAGGAGGCTTTGATGATCCTTGGTCCATGAGATTCCCATCCTATAAGTGCATTTTGTGCTTGTTTGGACAGCACCAATGCAACTCCTTGTGTATGTGGAGCATTTTCTTGTTCATGTCCGGAGTATAACAGCAGCTCCCCTGAAGCTAGTCGTTGTTGTCCAACTTGCGTCCAATGTGTTTCACCGATCCCAAGCACCTCTAGATTGTATCTCCTCATTTCTGCAGCAATTTGGAAAACTCTCCCAGTCTCCCACATTGTGCGAGCATTCCATGTACCTAAATAAATGGTTGATCTGGTTGTCAGAAGGGGCATCGGCCTCGTGACTTCCGAAGAAACTCGGCTTTCATCATGAGGAGTCATAATTCTTCTAAACGAAGATCTCCTGACTCCCAGGGCAGAGTTTAAATGGTTTGAATAATTTTTTCTGGTTAGCGTTTTTTTAGTGAGTTAGTTTTCTACGGGATGGGGTCGCTAACCCCATGCCCAACCCTCCTCGTTTATCCGGGCTTGGGACCGGCAGTAGCCCCCGGAAAGGGGCTCCAGGCGGAGTTGAGCATAATTTAGGGACAGTAAATCGTATAATAATAAATTATAGGTCAAAATGAAGTTACAATAAGAGGGATATAAATATGCATAATCTAATTATTGAAGTTATACCGTAAGAATATATATATATATATATATATATATATATATATATATATATGTTAATTATGCCCATATTGTAAGTTATTGATTAATCAGTGTTAAGTGGTACTGGATTCACATGAACAATGCATCTAAGTTCAGTTGTAATCAAGAGATTTTCTTGGCTCTTCATAATACGTATGTATATATATCAAGCTCCACGGTTAAGCCATCTAGTTCAACGAACTCAATATATATATATATATATATATATGCCATGCTTCAATATAACACATAATATTACTAACGCTTTACGTAATATGTGTGTTTTTGGGAGCCAAGTACTTAGACCTATACTCGGTTAGTGAGTTATATTCGATCAAAATTTATATCTGTTTAATTAATTATTTTTGAAGTTACATAATTAGAAATGGTGAACACATTAACATAGTTTCTTTATTTTAACGCGACTCATTGAATGAATACTTATTGAGATGTTCATATCCTTTCGTATGATGACAATAGTACAACAGTCCTTTAACATATTACCTCTTGATTAAAACCTTTGTTACTTGTTAATCTTAGAAATAGATACATTTCCTGTTGCATACAAAATGTTATAACAATAAAAGTTGTTTTAGTTCCTATATATTGTCGTGTGATATTAAGAACTAATTGATCTTATCATGTCTTATAGTAATCGTACAACATTCCATTTTTTTAATTCTCACTCATAACATATTTACTTTTTCTCTTACCTTTGAATACTGTTTTTAATCTATGGCGAATATGAAAAATTCAATTGAAAAACAGTATGTAAGTATTTATATTCACATACGTTCCCTGATCATGTTCATTATGATGTTATGTAGTGGTTATTTAGCAGTGTTGTGGGAGTATTTATTTGTGTGTGCTTTTATTTACGAACCGATTTGCTCTATTGTGTATATAAGCTTTCACTTCAGATTTGCGAAACTTATATTCCTCTAAGTTACTATTTTATCTTAGTAGTTATCTATTCAATTCACCAAGTCTTTGGTAAGATTATTGAAGTAAAATCAAATGATCAAAATTATGAATCTAGTTCATACTGTTTATTTTGTTAGAAGGTAAAAAAGTGTACACAGCTGATACATTGGTTCCAATACGCTCTTATTTGGATATTTTAACTTGGAACTGCTCCCAAAAAGCATGACGGAGCTTCCATAGGCTTTAAAGGAAAGGAAGAGAACCTTCCAGAATATCAACGTAACATTCTGTGATTAGACAATTATATAGCTTTTCTATTTGAGTATTGGCTGGATTATAACGATGTTATAGCCTATACTGAAAACTATACATATCCTCGTTTTTCTGTACATTTTCAACTCTTACCCAATAATCACTTCCCCAGCTTCTTTTGATTTGCGACTGGGGTTCTGCACGTTTGAGTGCCGATAGTTTTATACCGTATTCTGCCGTAATTAAGTAGAGGATGTAACATTAACTGATTAAAGCAAAGTTGAGTTTGGGATGTAAGGTTGCTGAACAATGTCGTTACATTTAAAAAAAAGACAAAAGCTCAGAAGAGCAAAAAGTGTTAGAACGAATCAGTAGAAAAATATAAAATGTTATGAAGAAAATAGTTACTTAAAGAAAACCAGATTGTAATATCGGTGATCATTGTGTCTTTCTTGTTGTCTTCTGACATCAAGCTATTCTGGTGTACCCTTACGCGGCTTCGGTTAAACCTCAGTATTTTATGACTTATTGTCATTTGTCTGTTTATTGAACATCAGGCTACTTTTACTCTGTAATAACCGACCTTAGTTGTATGGTACCTACTAACGCGTTAGATTTTTGTCGATGCTTGTTTGTAACCTTGTGAATAGATATGCTTTTCAACTAGACACAATGGATGTTTTAGAAGCATTTTTTATTAAATATCTGAAGTCATCTTATGTCTGATGTCTTCATTATCAATACCTAGTAGTCATAATTTAAGAATATTACACCTCTGCCGCATGCACGGGACTGTCAATTGTTAGTTAGGTATCTGACCGGTACAGCAAGCCTTAGTCGTTGTTAAATGTTAGCTGGATCTTTTGTATATCTACTGAAACTTTACTAACGATCATTTCAGCAGAAATTAATACACTAACCCAATTCGATAAAATATTCAACTATATTTTATTAACCATGTTTAATTTTTTCCGATCTCTAGACTGCACTACATTATGCAGCCAAATATGGAGATTGTGCTGCTATCCGATTGTTACTTGGGAATTATCATGTTCAAGTTGATGCTCAGACATGTGTAAGTTTTATGTATTACTTGTGTAAGTTTCATTCTATTATCACTTATAAAATGCAGATGATATAGTCCTATTTGCTGAAGACGCTGACAAAATATAATCTTTTGATCTCCAAGAGCAATAATGTAAGCATGTTTAGGATGAGTTTCTCTCTCTATAAATGCGAAATTTTGCTTCAAAACTGGTCTGTGTCAACACCCGAACTAGTGATAGAGAGTGAAGTAGTTGAGTAGATTGACCACTTTGCTTATCTAGTAAAGGCCAACTGTTAGTGGGACATAGATTGGATTTAAGCATGCTCAATGCACGATTGCTTTGGCGCACGCTGATTGGCTGATTCTTATCCAATCAGCGCTAGTCTATACATGGAGAAGCTTCTAGATTCTTCTTATGTAAAAAGCTATAAATATACTAACGGTTTTCCTATTTCGCTTCTTGCTTCTTGCTTCACCTAACCTTGTTATTTGGAATATAATCTCCTTCCTGCTCAATCGTGTTCTGATTTTGGGGGCTTGTCGAGTAAATCTGTGACCGTGAATACTAAGCGATAGGAATAGCTGGGTTATAACCGTAAGAGCGAAAATATAACAGTGGCGACGAGGAAAAAGGAAAATAAATTCAATATGTCCATATCAGACGACCAGCTTAAACGAATACTACAACAACAGCAACAACAATTAGATGCACAAATGCGGTTGTTAGAGACTCTGACTCAACAGCTTAGCTTCCACCGCTCGAGTTCACATGCCATTTCAAGTACGTCTTGTGATGCAGTTGCTAGCAGCATATCAGAATTCATCTATGATCCCGAAAGCGGAAATACTTTTCTCACGTGGTTCAAACGTTGGGAAGATACATTTAGAATAGAATTCTGTAACCAAGACGACGCGTGGAAGACTCGACTGTTGGTACGTAAGTTAGGAATTAATGAACATGCACGCTATGCTGACCATATATTGCCTAAGTTACCTCGAGAGCTCAGTTTCGAGGAGACGATAATTCAATTGTCAGAGATATTCGGTGAATCCTCCTCATTGTTTAGTATTCGACATCAGTGTCTAAATTTGGTGAAACGCGAAGCCGATGAATATGGTGTTTTAGCAGACATCGTCAACAGAGAATGTGAACGGTTCAAGTTACGCTCGTTGACAGAAGACCAATTTAAATGCCTAATATTCATCAAAGCTCTTCAGTCACCACAAGATGCTGAGATCAGGACTAGACTTTTGGCTCGACTAGATCAAGACCCAAACGTCACACTCAGAACGTTAACAGATGAGTGTAAGCGGCTACAAAGCATCAGACACGACAACAAGTTGATTGAACAGGTAAATCCTAATTTAACCTGCAGTAGTGTCAATGCTATTACTAGGTTAAAAGTTAAAAAGCCGATAACAACTCGTAATAAACCAACGACTGCATGCTGGTTATGTGGTGATTGGCATTATGTACGATTCTATCCATTTAAAAAGCATATATGTCAGGTGTGCAACAAACGTGGACATAAAGAAGGTCATTGTCCACCGAATCGTACGTCTCATCCCAAAAAGAAGCATAAACGTTCTCGACATGTGAAATCAGCCGAGTTTAAATCTCTTTCTTTGGTAGCTGCCTTTCAAACAAACTATGACATTCGGAGAAAGTATGTTACCATCCAGATAAACGGCATATCAGCTCGTCTTCAAATTGACACGGCATCAGATATCACCTTAGTATCTAGAGAAACGTATAACTTGCTGGGTAAACCGCCAATGAAGCCATCTAAGAAAACGGCCAAAAACGCATCAGGTGGTGTGCTAAAACTGGTTGGTGAATTACAATGTGAATTTTCCTTCAATGGAACTAACTGTACAGGAATATGTTACCTAACAGAACGGTCAAACCTTGATCTTCTTGGTCTAGATATGTTAGATAAACTTGGAATAATGGATGTACCGATTAACAGTGTCTGCAACGTATTGTGTTCATCATTAGACACCCCAGTACTTGCAAAGAAGACAGGTGAAAGGTTACTAGAAAAACTGAAAAGAAAGTTTGCCTCTGTTTTTCAGAATAGCCTTGGCCACTGTACCAAGATGAAAGCTCATTTACCACTGAAACCAGATGCCAAACCTATTTTTCGTCCTAGACGTCCTGTACCATATGCTGCTCTTGAGTTAGTCGATCAGGAACTTAATCGCTTGCAACAGGCTGGTGTAATCCAACCAGTCAACTACTCTGCATGGGCCGCACCGATCGTAGTGATTAAGAAGGCGAATGGAACTATACGCATATGTGCCGATTTCTCGACCGGTTTAAATGCTGCATTAGATGTGTATCAATATCCGTTACCAGTTCCTGAAGACCTGTTTGCCAAACTTAATGGTGGGACATGTTTCGCGAAAATAGACTTTTCCGATGCCTATCTGCAAGTAGAAGTAGATGAAGACAGTAGAGAGCTTTTGACCATTAACACTCATCGAGGGTTATTTCAATACACCCGTCTACCATTTGGCATCAAGACTGCACCTGCCATCTTTCAGCAAATAATGGATACGATGCTAACAGGTATACCTGGTACAGCAGCTTATCTAGATGATATCATAGTTATGGGTTCAACTGACAATGAACTTTCTGATCGACTACATCAAGTCCTTAACCGAGTGTTGGAATATGGTTTCCAACTACGTGAGGAAAAGTGTACTTTCTTTATGCATTCCATCAAATACCTTGGTTTTATCTTAGATAAGAACGGTCGCCGACCAGACCCTGCCAACATCGAAGCCATTCAGAAGATGCCTGCACCAACTGATGTCTCTTCATTAAGATCCTTCTTGGGGTTAATCAGTCATTATAGCACATTCTTGCCTGAAATGCATCGAGTGAGAAGTCCCCTGAATGAATTACTATCAAAAGATAAACCTTGGTAGTGGTCAGCAGAATGTCAAGCATCTTTCGACAGAGTCAAATCAATGCTCAGCTCAAAGATTCTTTTGACACACTTCGATCCCAGCTTGGAAATTGTTGTTGCATCTGATGCATCTAGTCATGGAGTTGGAGCAGTGATATCTCACGTGTTTCCGGACAAATCAGAAAAGACAATTGCCCATGCTGCTAGATCACTTACCCCAGCCGAGCGGAACTACAGTCAAATTGAAAAGGAAGCTCTTGCGATCATTTTCGCTGTCAAAAGATTTCATAAAATGCTCTATGGTCGTACATTTACTCTACTGACAGATCACAAACCTTTGATTGCAATCTTTGGTTCTAAGAAAGGAATCCCTGTCTATACGGCTAATAGATTACAGCGCTGGGCAACAATGCTCCTGAGTTATGATTTCAATATCAAGTATCAGTCGACAAATACTATCGGTCAAGCCGACGCTCTCTCTCGATTAATTGGAGTTCAGCATCCTGGACCAGAGGATATAATCATTGCCTCCATAGCAGTAGACCCAGAAATACGAAGTATAGTGGCAGATGCCATTCGAAACACTCCAGTGTCGTCAGATGAAGTCAGAGAAGAAACTCTTCGAGACCCGATTCTACAAGAAGTTAGAAAGTTCCACCTGGAAGGATGGCCCACGAAGATCAGTTCCACAGAGCTTCAACAGTTTTACCAGCGTAGACTCTCTCTCTCAATCATCGACGACTGCCTGCTGTTTGCAGAACGTGTCATAATCCCAAAGAAGCTACAACCAGCAGTGCTTGAACAGTTGCACGCAGGACATCCTGGAATAAATCGCATGAAAGCATTAGCACGAAGTTATGTATACTGGCCGCATTTAGACACTCAACTGGAGCAGCTATCCCGTTCATGTACCAAATGTGCATTAGCAACGAAAGCACCGCGAAAAGCAGAGCTGCAATCATGGCCAATACCACAGTCACCGTGGCATCGTATACACTTGGACTTTGCTGGTCCACTTCATGGACAAACTTACCTTTTGGTAGTTGATGCATATAGCAAGTGGCCAGAAATCTTTCTCATGGAACACCCGACTGCAAGCTGCACAGTCAGTAAGCTACGTCAACTATTCAGTCGTTTCGGAGTCCCGGAATTGATAGTTAGTGACAACGGAACACAGTTTACGTCCGTAATTTTCTCACAATTTTGTCGGCAGAACGGAATCCATCACGTCCGAACACCTCCATTCCATCCCCAATCAAATGGTCAAGTGGAACGCTTTGTGAGTACATTTAAAAATGCTCTAAAAAAAATCTAAAGGGGAGGGGACCACCGAAGAGATCTTAGAGAGGTTCCTGCTTATTTATCGCTCGACACCGAACCCTCAGACGATTAAGGGGGTCTCTCCAGCAGAAGCTCTACTTGGCAGAAAAATACGAACACATTTCGATGTCATCCGTCCTACGCCAGCTCTTGAGCCTCAACGAAACCTATCTATGGAGAATCAGTTCAATCGACATCATGGGGCACAAAAACGATTGTTCACGGTGGGACAAAAAGTACTTGCTATGGACTATCGTGAGAAACATCCTACATGGACAGCTGGTCGGATCTTGAAAAAGAAGGGGAGTGTGGTTTATGAGGTGTCAGTTGGCTCAGAAGTTTGGGTACGTCATGCTAACCAAGTGAAAGCAACTTCGATAGCCAGCAATGAGATTCAATATCGATTACCTCTTGATGTTCTGCTAGACACCTTTGAAATCAAAACGCCTGGAACAGACAGGTCAGTTTCTGTGCAAGCAAAGAGTGATACTTCTTTATTGCCTAGACGATGGACAAATTGAAAGCACAGGCCAGTCACTCGGTTGCAGTTGGACCCTAGCACCAGATCCTACGAATCTGCTCAAAGGGGAGGTGTTAGTGGGACATAGATTGGATTTAAGCATGCTCAATGCACGATTGCTTTGGCGCACGCTGATTGGCTGATTCTTATCCAATCAGCGCTAGTCTATACATGGAGAAGCTTCTAGATTCTTCTTATGTAAAAAGCTATAAATATACTAACGGTTTTCCTATTTCGCTTCTTGCTTCACCTAACCTTGTTATTTGGAATATAATCTCCTTCCTGCTCAATCGTGTTCTGATTTTGGGGGCTTGCGAGTAAATCTGTGACCGTGAATACTAAGCGATAGGAATAGCTGGGTTATAACCGTAAGAGCGAAAATATAACACCAACATAGGTCGAATTCTCCCCGCAAATTGAAAAAGCTCAGTTGGCGTTTGCCTACTTGTGTCACTTTGGCGTAGACGCAATTTCCGTCTGCAAACCTATAGACGTGTATACTGAGCAGCAGTCTTGTATGTAATATTTTACTGTTGTGAAACATGGTTTACGAAAGTAGAAGACAAATTAGGCTACAGACTAAAGTATATTTGAAACACTGCCCACGTTCTGTGGAACGAACGATTTGGAAATATTCAAGTTGGGCATAGGGTACCAGGCAAGATAGGCAAATCGGTTGATGAGATTGCAAAGCTATATCAACTGAAATGACTGTGACATGTTTAAGATTTGAGAACCTGGTTGAGGTCCTTGTGATAAACTCGATCAGTTCACAATGGTCCAGATTCGTTCACTCCATATCTTCCTTTCGATTTTGAATTCCAGTATTCCTTCATACATACCTCTCCACTCTGTCTTTTTGTTATGAAGATAGCTTTTAGTGAGGGAATTCTCAATTGTCAAAATTGATGAGTAGAATGATAATCATTAGTTAAACGCAATAGTATAATGTAATCCAGTGATGGGTACTTATAAAACCATAATTGACTTGGGCCCTTGAGTAATTAGAAATCAAAGACAATACCACTAACTAGATGACTTTTTTTCATGTAATAAAATATTGTTGTATGTGAAATATGAGCACAAAGTAAACATAATAAAATGCTATAGGTGATTGGAGGAAACTAGCTTGTAGGCCATGTGTTCTTCAATCAATCCGGACCTTATTTATTTTCTGGCATCGTATCGCTTTTCCCATTGTTTAGTCTCTCTTATTGTCGTTTCTATTACATTATTTCTATCTCCTATGCAGATTATCATGTTATTTTTCATCTCGTAGTGCTAATGTAGTATAGCAACTTATATCAATCCATGTTAATGATGACTGTCTGTTTGACTAATAGTTATTACACACAACATTTTTCTCGGTTTCATTTGTCCTATTTAAAATGTAAAGTATATACACTCACCCAAAATATACTACATTATCTAAGAGTAAAGTATGGTAAATAATTAAAAAAGCTTATTGAATAAAAGATTTTAAAGTAAATTGTCAACATATTTTTTTCTTTGTGTGCACAAGATTTGGATGCCTTAGTATTGTTGTAGAATTATTGATATGTGAGTATTCTGCGTCAATAAATCTCCTTACACAAAGATTGAAATACGAATGTTTTACTGTTCCACGTCTCTTTCTAGAAGTTGGTGGTATTCAGTATTCAGACTAAAAGTAGCATAGGTTAACATTGATTATGTAATGATATGTACATGTGGAAATAGCCATTCAGGGTTACCTGAATCTTAGTGGTTTACTCCAGTTCATGTTGGTTCTTAAAAAATTCACTCATGTCCGAAAGAACTTAAGTAAAAATGTCCAAACTACAGGTCAAACGGATTGTATTGTACTCTGACGATCTAACAACAGGTCGTGTATATGAAACTATCATATTCCCGATACGGATAATGTCACACCTCTCCGGTTAAGTATTCAAGAGTGATGTATAAATTACCCAACTTATATCAACACAACTATAATAACTAAACAAAATATTCGAAGTCATATGTTGTTTTTTTAAAAAAAATATCTTAATTGTGTTTTTCTTTTTTCATTCCTCTTTCTATGTTACTGCTTTCATTTCCACAGGAGGTAAGTAGTTATAAACAGTTAGTGTTATTTACGTATGTACTAATTAATTTTTCAAATGCAAAGCAGTTTATAGTATGTTCTGTGTTGTAGTTCCTCAGTTATATACTTAGTAAATCTTATCAACAATTCTGATCGATTTATGTATATATTTCTGTCAATGAATAATATATGTATAATTTATTATAGGGTATGACTCCTTTACATTTGGCCGCTTCTAACGGGAATGAAGATGTTATATGCTTATTAACTTCCGTGTACAGTAAGTACATTTGTTCATTTACCGCTATTATTTTCAGTTATTATTTATAAACTGATTGTAACAACTTGTCCGAATTACTATTCTTAGTCTAATGCTCTTTTTTTCTGACCTTATTATCAAGAATTGATTTTCACTGTTGTAATGAAAGCTATAATTTGAAATTATTTTAAGAATTATACTAGTCTGTATATATTTACTCAATGTGACATGATAGTGTGGGTGGCTATAGACATATCATTTGCTGTTAAGTTCTAAGCTATAACTCCGCCTGTAGCTCTTCCAGAGTTACTGCCGGTCCCAAACCCGGGTAAAGGAAGAGGGTTGGGCATGGGGTTAGCGACCACATCCCGTAGAAGAGTAACTCTCTAAAAAAACGCTAACCAGAAAAAATAATTAAAACCATTTAAACTCTGCCCTGGGAGTCAGAAGGTCTTCATTTAGAAAAACTATGACGCCTCATGATGTAAGCCGAGTTCCTTCGGAAGTCACGAGGCCGATGCCCCTTCTAACAACCAGAGCAACAATCTTTATAGGTACATGGAACGTCCGGACAATGTGGGAGAACGAGAAGACCAGTCAAATAGCAACGGAAATGAGGAGATACAACTTGGCAGTACTCGGAATCAGCGAAACCCATTGAACCCAAGCTGGACAACAAAGGCTAAATACGGGAGAGATGCTGCTATACTCCGGTCACGAAGAGGAAGATGCTCCACACACTCATGGAGTTGCTCTAATGCTGTCCAAAGTAGCACAAAATGCACTGGTAGGATGGGAATCTCACGGATCCAGAATCATCAAAGCATCATTCAAAACAAAGAAGGAGGGGGTCACAATGAATATTATCCAATGTTATGCACCCACCAATAATAGCGACGACGACATTAAAGATCGATTCTATGAGAGGCTGCAATCAGTCATAGAGAAGTGCCCAAGAAAGAACCTCACCATTCTGATGAGAGATCTAAACGCCAAAGTCGGAATAGACAACACCGGATATGAAGATATCATGGGACTACATGGATTGAGAGAGAGAAACGAAAACGGGGAAAGATTTGCGAATCTGTGTGCATTTAACAAATTGGTCATAGGCGGCACAATATTTCCACACAAAGCTACATGGATCTCACCGGACCACACCACACCACAGAGAACCAGATAGATCATATTTGCATCAATAAAAAGTTCCGAAGGATAATGGAAGATGTGAGAACCAGGAGAGTAGCGGACATAGCTTCAGACCACCACCTGGTTGTGACTAATTTAAAACTGAAGCTAAAGAAGAACTGGACAAACAGCGCTGCAAAGTTTCAACACAGCCTTCCTTCGAGATACTGACAAACTCAATGAATTCAAGATAGCTCTCAACAACAGATTCCAAGCCCTACAGGATCTACTAAAGGAAGAAGAAATTACTATGGAGGATAACTGGAAAGGTATCAAAGAAGCATTAACTTCAACGTGTCAAGAGGTTCTTGGCCCCAACAAGCATCATCACAAGGAATGGATCTCTACAGAAACACGACAGGATCAAAGAAAGGAAGAACAAGAAAACAGTAATTAACAATAGTCGAGCACGAGTAGAGAAAGTCCAAGCACAAGCTGAATATACAGAAGCAAACAAGAAAGTGAAGAAGAGCATTAGAGCTGACAAGCAGAAATACGAGGAAGAAATAGCAACGACGGCGGAGAAAGCTGCAAGAGAAGGAAATATGAAACAGCTTTACGATACAACGAAGAAGCTAGCAGGGGAATATAGTGAACCAGAGAGACTGGTCAAGGACAAAGAAGGCAGGCCAATCACCGAAATTCAAGAACGGCGGAACAGATGGGTAGAGTGCTTCGAGGAACTCCTGAATAGGCCGGCTCGAATGAACCCACCGGACATTGAAGCAGCACACACAGATCTTCCTATAGATGTCAATCCACCAATGACGGAAGAAATCAGAATGGCCATCAGACAAATCCAGAGCGGGAAAGCAGCAGGACCCGACAATATGCCAGCCGAAGCACTGAAGTCAGACATCGAAGTAATTACAAACATGCTTCACCCTCTATTCAAGAAGGTTTGGGATGAGCAACAAGTGCCGATGGACTGGAAAGAAGGACATCTCATCAAGATTCTAAAGAAGGAGACCTGAGCAAAGGTGAAAACTACCGAGGTATCACATTACTCTCAGTACCAAGGAAGGTCTTTAACAGAGTGTTGCTGAACCGGATTGTCAACATTATCCGAACTCATACAACGGACTACAGTGCAAAGTAGTGCATGGAGGACAGCTGACAGATGCATTCCTAGTAAGGACCGGAGTCAGAAAAGGTTGTTTACTCCCCCCCTTCCTCTTTCTTCTGGTGGTCGACTGGATTATGAAGATCTCAACATCTTAGAGAAAACACGGCATACGATGGAAAGCTCAGAACCAACTAGACGATTTGGACTTTGCAGATGAGTGGCCTATGCTCCTTCATGAGGAGTAACAGGCGTAAGTAAGTAAGTCAATCTAAGCTATAACTGAACTGTTAGAGAACAACTGTTCACTACATCTTGGTTTTCATTAGTTCTCCATCTGATATCAATCTGATAGTGGGCAATCACAGACAAATCACGTGTTGTGAGGCTACATGGTATATCGAAATCCAAGTGTGAATGAAGGTACTGTGATCAAGTAGCCTTATTTACCCGTCTAATATTTATACCCACATTTCCCTATCTGTATAAGTCCAACAATTTATGTATGTGCATATTCAGTGGGCTTTTAGTGATACAGCTACCTACACACTCTTATCTCACCTTGTGCAGTTGATGGGTCAGGGATTGGGAAGTATGCATTAGTAATTGAACTGAATTGACGAATAAAACAGTCTGTGACAAAAATTGTTATCTTATTCAAGTAATTACTACCATCTTTTTAAATATATCTTGACACTGTATTCTTATAAATATTTATTTATTTATTTATTTATTTGAACACATAAATATTGGTACAGGGGGGCACCAAATATATATGCGCCACACAAAACAATGATAATTTGAAGAGAAGGAGAAAAGAGAAAAAAAAGTAATGAACGTAGGGAATTATAAAAAAAAAGAACAAAAATGAGGGAAACGAAAAGGTACAGTCGGAGGAAATCTTACAGTTAAGGAAGAAGCAACCACTCTTTACGAAGAAATTAAAAGGAGGTTACAGCAGGATCGTAGTGCATGGAGGACAGCTGACAGAGGCATTCCAAGTAAGGACCGGAGTAAGACAAGGCTGTCTACTCTCTCCCTTCCTGTTTCTTCTGGTGGTCGACTGGATTATGAAGACCTCGACATCTGAGAGAAACTACGGCATACGATGGACAGCTCAGAACCAATTGGACGACTTGGACTTCGCAGATGACCTAGCCCTCCTATCACATACACACGAACAAATGCAGATAAAGACAGCCAGCATAGCAGCAGTCTCTGCATCAGTAGGCCTCAACATACACAAAGGGAAAACCAAGGTCCTCAAACACAACACGGAGAACAGCAATCCAATCACTCTTGATGGCGAAACTCAGGAAGACGTGGAATCCTTCACATACCTGGGAAGCATCGTCGATAAACAAGGAGGTTCAGATGCAGACGTCAAGGCGAGGATTGGCAAAGCTAGAGCGGCATTCCTTCAACTGAAGAACATATGGAACTCAAAACAACTGTCGACCATTATCAAAGTCAGAATCTTCAATACGAACGTCGAGGCAGTTCTACTGTACGGTGCTGAAACTTGGAGAACTACAACAACCACCATCAAGAAGGTACAGGTATTTATCAATAGCTGTCTACGCATGATACTCAACATCCATTGGCCGGATACCATCAGCAACAGTCTTTTGTGGGAGAGAACCAACCAGCTTCCAGCTGAAGAGGAAATTAGGAAAAGACGATGGAAATGGATAGGACATACATTGAGGAAATCATCAAACTGCATTACGAGACAAGCGCTAACTTGGAATCCTGAAGGGAAGCGGAAAAGAGGAAGGCCAAAGAACACATTACGTCGGGAAATAGAAGCAGATATGAAAAAGATGAATAAGAACTGGAAAGAGCTTGAAAGGATTGCCCAGGACAGGGTTGGATGGAGAATGCTGGTGAGCGGCCCATGCTCCTTCACGAGGAGTAACAGGCGTAAGTAAGTAAGTACAGCAGGATCGCCACTGGCTTCTATTCTGAGCCATATCTGATAACGTCTTTACCCACTGTGTTACACCATCACTCGGACCCCAGCCAGGGAGTCGTGAAGGACCAACAGAAGCTAGCCCTTTGCAGCTTTCTTTCATACCACGACACCATGTCATACACTGACCACCTCTCCGCTTTTTCCAACCAGTCCCAGAGTCGGCAAATAATGCACGACGAAGAATTCTCTGGGACGACATTCGTAGAACATGTCCAAGCCACCGAAGTCGGTGTTTCAAGATGGTGACACCAATTTCATTATCGTCTCTGTGACCGAACACTCGATGCCGAACCTCTGCATTACTGACATGGTGTTGCCACTGGATGCCAGCAATCCTTCGGAGACAGCGATGATCGAACACAGAGAGTCGTCTAACATCCTCAACTCGGAGAGGCCAGGTTTCACAAGCATAGAGCAAAACTGCTCTCACCGTCGCGTTGTAGATCCGACCTTTTACAGCCAGACTAACATCACGAAGGCGCCAAAGATGGCTCAGATTTGCATAAGCCGCTCTGGCTTTCACTATACGTGCATTGATCTCATCACTCACACCACCACCAGCACTTATGCAGCTACCTAGATACACGAAACCCAGTGCTTGTAAGCGGGACGTTTCGCAAACCCACAACAGACTGTACCCGCCATTTTCATGGCGTCATTCAATTGCAACCAATGCTCATCTATACTTTTCGGTGGAATGGTAGCTAGCCTAGAAGCTAGCTCGTTTCGGTACTTACTAGCAACAGAAGTTGCAGCCAGCTTGCTAACATCAATCCTTTGGTGGCGGTCACTTCGTTGTCCACTGAAAAGTAAGGTAAGATTGGCGCAGACCAGAGCATGATCAGATTCCAGATAGGTACTCCAAAAGGAGCGGCAGTCTTGTACACAACCACGCCAGCGGTAGCTGATCGCGATGTGATCAATCTGAGTCCAGGCTTGAGATGCAGAAGGGGGACGCCAGGTGGCACATCGGCGATGACTGTGCCGAACGTTAGTGCTAGCCAGAAACAGGTTGTGGTCTGTGCATAGTTGCAGTAGACGTTATCTTTCCTGCGACCAACGAGTCCTCACCGGCCACCTAAACGACTCTCTTCTGTGCCTAGACGCCCGACCTGAGCATTCAAGTCTCCAGCTAGTACTACAATATCTGTCGAACGCACTTTCTGGAGAAGAACAGTTAGCTGGTGGTAGATCTCGTCCTTGATTGCATCCGGGCTGCAATCTGTCGCGGCATAGGCGGAGATGACGAAAAGACATCGTTTCTCACGCCGATTTCTCACTTTGATGGATTTTTCTAATCTAACAGCACATAACCGACTGTTAATGGGGATCCAGTCGACTAGTGCCGCCTCAGCTCTTGCGCTTAGTGCGACACCAACGCCAGCAAGACCAGACGAAGATGCCACGGGGTCTCCGAATAAACGCACATAAAACAAGCTTTTTGAAGCGACAGATGGAGAGCGAACTTGTAGTACTTCACCAGAGTCTTGAATACGGGTCTCGGATAGACAACACACATCAATATTAAGACTTTCCAAAGACATAGCCAGCTCTATCTGTTGTCCGACCTGCATAAGTGTGCGAACGTTGAAGGCAGCCAGTTTAAATGGTGCACGTGGTTTTAGAAAAACTGCTTCAGTACTCATATTCGGTGGTAACATACAATTTTCAACCAGGCAGTGACTCGAGAACGTTTAGATAAAGCTGAATTTTTACCATAGGCGAGCTGCTGTCTGAGTCGAAACGGATACAAAAAGTAGAAATAGGAGATAGTGAATAAATAACGTAGTAAATAATAATAATAGTACCAGTCATTTCAATGTTAGTCGGAGAGAAACGAATATTTTCCATAGGCAGATAGTTCATCATGGTTTCTTATAAATACGTTCCGAATGAATGCTCTATCCATCATTAATGATGGTGTGGAGAAAACAATTACATTTATGTTGTTTATATGTTTGTTTTCAATTTATTGCTTATCATTATTATTATAAATAGTGCAGTGTTTCCTTTTGTTTTAATCTCAATATAAAATTGTCATTCCACCGTATGTGAATCACTTCCATGTGTTCTATTGTACCAAACTTTTATCTGTAATAAATGAGAATAAATAGCGAATAACAGTTTCAACTTGATCATGTATTATTTATTTGCTTTTATATAGAAGCTAGAACTGATATACGAGATTTTTGTGGACGGTTACCAAGCGCTTATCTGCCCAAAGAAAAGGAGGCATTAGCAAGTGAGTGTTCATACTTGTGTCGTTGCAAGTTTGTTACTCATCATTACCTTTAGTGTATAAATTTGGTTTGCTTTGTTTTGACTTTTTTATGTTTATTGTTATAACATTTAATGCGTGCTTCCAAATCAAGATTGATTTAATCCTCTATTATGGTAAGCTAATGTACATGTAGTTGCCCGAGATCTGACTCCAATTTGATCATATGAATGTTTGTTATCGCCTATCCTCGTATATAATCATTGACTTGAATCGCTTTAGTTAATAACGGAATTAAATAAGTCAAATAACGAGGATGGACTTTTGAATGCATATATTTTGTATAACCATTGATCCAGACAAACGAACAGGAAAACGATGCGAAGAAAGGAAAGCGAAGCAAAAATGACGCGCGGTGAAGTTGGCCGGTTAGCCAAATTCCTTCTGACAAAGAGTTAATCAATATTTATAAGCACACAAAGATAAATTACAGACATGTGATGAACAGTGGGATAAGAAGTGTACACACACCCAGGCGCTCATATAAAGACAGTCAAGATTGATAAGTGAATAATTAACAAGGTCAAAATATGACTCAAGTAGAATGAATAGATTGAGATGTCCGAAAGCTAGAATAAGGTATGTGGGCTTAAAATAATAACAGACACTACATACATAAACAGAATTAGCATCTATCTCTATAATTTACTCACTCTGTGTAGGAGAATTTGACAGTTATCTCATTGTTCTCAAAATTCAACTAATTTCTTGATAGCCTCCGCGAGTTTGACAGTAAATTTCTTAGGAGCTATTGAAGAATGATCAGCAGACACAATGGAAAGATCCATTTGTTTTCTGTCACAAGGCATAAAACTATTATCAATAAAGTTTGCGAGATTTATACTCTTAGTATGGAGACCATCATTCCGTATCAAGACGGTGTTATCTATTCCTAGATTGGGCTTGACTGATATTAATTAACAATAAGTTATTACCTGAATTTGAAACACTCAGTCACAATCTGTAAAATAGCAGTCTGTGGATAATTACTTCATGTGGCATAGATCACATTTTCAAATAATATGATATTTAATATTTATATTTGATAGTAAAATCATTCTTTGACTCAATATACACCGTTAAACATCTAGTATTATACCACTGATAGTCAAATATTGACTATCCCTATGATGTTATATGTAGGTTCTTCTTCCTTTCTGGTTTGTTATTCCAACTATTCACTACAAAAGTTTGCTATTATAGAACTGGAGTGAGGATAAACATAATCTTTTCAGTGTTAAGAAAATGAGCAGTATCCACCATTTTTCCATTTATTTAATGTATCAATGCTGCATATAACTGTTATTTTTACTGGGGTACTTCATGTTAACGATCTAAAGGTATTTACGTGTGCCTTCTGTGAACACCTTACTGTATCACACTCCAATTTACCGGATGAAGAAGTTAAGTGAAGTAAAAGTTAAGATTTAAATGAAATCCTCAGTAAAAATTGTGTTCTTATATTCTGCATTCAGACACTGAATGAGAATAAAATGTTAGATATTGAACACATTAAACATGGATAAGGAATTTCACGGATGGATGTCCTACCTCATTGACCTGTCCTGACTTAGAGTCATGAATCTAAATCTAGCAATTTATTCCAATATATTTTTTTACTGACTTAATGTATTTCATACTACTAGAATGTTAACAAATGCGATTCAAATTTTGTAAGTTGGTGGAGGAGAGGCATTGCGAAGCATGTATGCATGAAGGACACTTGTTGCATGTTGAATTCATAGCTTGTTTTCGTATCGCTCAATAGTGTTTAATTTATCCTAGCGACAAACTGTGAAAAAACGTATCATTCACAATACCTACACATTTTTGATGTTGTGAAATATTGTGTTATCTGTGCAAAACTTTTGTATGTCACGTAAATATAAAACTGTTTCTAGTATCATTATTCGCAAAACGTATATGCAACAACTTTAACTCAATGACAGGGTTACACGTTAAAATGCATAACTTAGGATTTACTTGCAAGCATGGAACTGTTACTGTAAATAAAATGTACACATATAGTCTCGTATTATGAGAGATTAGAGCGTCATTTATACAATAAGAAGCATAATCTAGGAATAGAATGATGACACATACTGTGCATTAAACAACAGTAAGTAGTTGTATCAAGCGAGAATACTAGAAAATGATAAAAATAAATTCTTACTGTTGAAACTTAGAGATTGTTGAACTTTATTGAAATTACGAAGCGATCTTAATTATACAGCTATCGAAAACCCGGGAAGCAATGGATTTCTAATTCGTCCTAGTGGGTGCCTAACTTCAATCAGTCCAACAATCTCCACAACCCGTCATACTGATAACTAACATGTGTTCATCAATAACTAACTTCGAGAAGAAATTCTCGGGTCTCCAGTGAGAAGCTGTGAATAGTGGAGTCCAACCGTTTCAAGTATGAGTCAGTTACCTGCCGAAAACGACAATATCGCGAGCTGGCTGGAGTTAAACCCGTCGACCATTAGATTCCCGCCAGCAGTTTAAAAGTTAAGTTCTCGATGCGAGGCCTGAAGCTCTTGAGTTCGATCAATGATGGGTTCGTGGATGCGCGCTGCTGAGAAGTCCCATTTTATGACGAAACAATTGTCCAACACTTCCTGGTTTCCAGTGATTCCTTAAATAATTTAAGCGCTTGTTTCTAGTGGTTTGTTTTATACATATCAATTTTAACGCATGTATTTTACATATTTGCACTTGGTATGACGCTGTTGTTTTTTTACAAAGCTATAGTTCAGTAGTGGTTTAAGCGCATAAACTGTGTTAAATGTGATAATGTTTTATATATTTTACTTCGGTTTGAGGAGCCTGTGTAAATTTCTAGCCCTCATTAACTTATTGGTAAGCGCATGAAGTTGTACTATCATATTGAGTTACATTAATTTACATTTAACTGTTGCTAGTATTGCTCAGTGATGTGCTGCAGAATAGAATATTTAGTGTTTTTTTTTTACTTGCTGTTATGTTTAGAATACCTTCCGAATCCTTTGCGCGTCCTTTTGCAAAATTGTAATAATTGTAAGTGATAGTTTTCCGTTTTGCTTTGTCAGGTTTCTGTGTTTATTGAAAAATATATATAATCGTTTGTGTTTTGATCAGAATCTTGAAAAGCTTAGAATTTCCAATTACACACTTAGCTTGTTATGCCTAACATATGCAAGAATGTTTATTCTAAAATGCTGTGAACACCAGCTTTTCTATGGAACACGGTATCTTTTTACACATTACATTACCTCAGATCTTGGTAAATAACTGAGTTACTTTTTTATCAAAACAACCAATGATGGAAAATTCTAGTGGGTTTCAAAGGAACTATGAATGTGAACAGACAATAATTATATGGTATTTGAATTTGATGTACAGGACAGTTCAAATTATATTAGTTTTGATAAATCTGGGAATAAGTTAAGTTTTTAGTCCAATTTTATGTCTACCCAAACGTTTACAGAGTTGTATACGCAACAGGTATTTAGTGAATTTTCATTTCACAACTGTTGATAGATTTATCAACAGCTTGCAAAGAATGGCTGTATGAATGCTATCTGCCCTAGGTATCTTGTGTTAATTTACAGGTTTATAGAGGCATTTAACTGACAGTTGTTTCAGGTCTCAGAACACCACGAAATTTTGGTATTTATAAATTACATTTCCGCATTACATTATCATTTTTTTCTTAAAATTACGATTGAAATCTTTGGAGATAATGTATAAGAAGTCTGATGCACTTGGTAATAAATATAACATATTTTGAACATAAGTAATTTTAATGTGATTTCTTTGAAGACCACTGAGTTCATTTAATTAACTTCTTCACTTGCAGATTTATATTTGTTAGTGAGCCAACCAGAAACAAACCGATTGTCATCTGATCCTGTTTCAAACGAAGATAATAGTAATAATGAGTGCAGTAGTGATTGTGGGTTAATGAATAATCTTAATGCCCTACCTCCTACACCAATTAATTCTCATTTTCCATGGAGTCAAAATAATCAAAACTACACAGAAGAATCGCGTCGACAACCATCTCTTTCACGAGGCCTAGGTTCAGTTCGTAGCGGGAAACGTGATTCTTCAAGAGATAGGCATAGAATGTACAAAACCCTACCATCTAGTGTGGTCAATAAAATAATGTGTCTTCCACTGGTAGACTTGAAATTCGTAAATACGGGTTCCAGAATTCCTACAGTCAAGCTAAAATTTGATGATCCCAAAAGAATTTTCGATTCAAATTTTCGGTATGATGATGTAAAACTCATCCAAAATGTATACACACATATTCGTCAGAGGCGTAAAACAGCTTCATTTTATTATAATCCATGTAATCCTGAGAGTACTAAATCATCGGAACCAAATGTAAGCTGTGTTGTTATTTTTACTTAGTAAATATTTTAACATGTAACTCTAACTTCTTTATTCAAACACTTTTTTATTCATTTTGAAGGTAACTTGAACCGATGCATGTATGTGCCTGGTCCTACATTGTAACTGACTGACTCATTTTGAAGGTGGATGAGCAATTACAAATCCGTAGTTGCATCTACGCAATTTCCAGATAACGACTCGACTGTTGAGATAAATCTTTTTGAAATATGAAGAGAATAAGAAGATAATCAGTTGTGATATGTCATAACACTTAGTATGTTCGCATTTTTCAGTTACTTTCATCTCCAACGTTTATCCTTGGAGATTGTATATGGGAGGTGCATCCATACCAAGGAAATCCATTTTCTAAAATAAAAACTAAATTTTCGTTTTAGGTATCCCTTAACAAAAGGTAACTGTAATTTTACGAAAGGATTAAGGACGAACTACGTACATCAAGATTTTGACATCGATAAAGTAGCAAGGTTTTATGGATGCTGAGCGATGGTTTGTTGATTTAAGCGCTCGAATGTCAAGCAAACAGGTAGTAGTGGTTTTCCTAAAAAGGCTTACACAACCAAATAATATTTACTAGTCCTTACAGAATATATGATTTAGCTCGTAGTTTTATGTGCGAAACTGTAGATTAATTACAACTACACTAACCAGTAGACGAGATGCCGCTATGCAAAGATCGTAAGTGATACAGGTAGTCTAGGCTGATATGTTGATTTCCTGTTCTGAGGTAACATGATATATATATATATATATATATATATATATATATATATATATATATATATATTAACCCACCATTATTTAACTTCTCGGTTGCACGAATCCGTTAGCCTGCTTCCATAAATTCGTTAACTGTATTTAATGTAACTGCCGCCTTTATGAAGGTAAAGCATATCTACGCTTACTAGTAGCAATTCTTCAAAACTGTGGCATGCTGAATTAGTGATTAGGGCTACATTGTACTGATATTCATGGACAAAAACCTAGATTCATGTAATAAGTTATAACCTGTTGTCAGTCTCCAAGTTGTAGAAAAACTACCAATCATTCTTATTTTTGAGAGACACCTGATCCCAAAATACATCGCAGATAAGATCTGTTTTCTGACTGATTACACATCAAAAAGTAATTCTTACTGCCTACAATACCTGTGTTGGCGTTTAGTTTACCAGGACCCTCAATAAAATTGGGTCTACTTATCGCAGGTCGATTGTTTTTAGGCTTTAAAATATCCTATCTGTTCACAACTTTTATTCAGTTAATGACAGAATTATAACCAATCGATTACTTCGACTGTGTACTTGATCTTTTTTGTAAGTTTCATAACTTTTATCCTATGCTAATCAAATCTGTTGAAACAATTTTATACTAGTTACACAACAAGAAATCATAGAATTGTCAATTATCTACAATTCTTTCTTGATTTTTGCGTCATTAGGTTAAAGATAATACTGGCCGCTTGGGACCATCAAATTTACGTTCAACTGTTGGTCGTCAATTAAAGCGCCACATATATAATGCTCGCAGTGCGATGTCGGCAACCCAAAACAATGAATTAAGTGAACTTGTAAACAATAATAATAATGATAGTGATGATGACGATGAATTTACTGATCCACCAACTCCAACAAATGAACTGAATGATGAAGAGGATTAATAGTACAAACAAATATTTTGTGCCTTTTTTTAATTACTTTGAATCCAAATTGCTTTCATTATTTTTCCCTCCTGTTATTAACTTTTGTATCGGACTAATAATATATTCATCTATTTGCTTTTTTCTATTAAAATAACTTTTCGTTTCGAAAACAAGATTATTTATATTTATATTATATATTATGTGCCAAAATTTTAATCTGGGATTTAATAAATGCTTAGTAATAAAAATATTCTATTGATTTGCTTCCTCTTTTTTTATTGTATCAATATTCTTGTGTGAAACATCAGAACTAGAATTATTGCCAAGACTTGCTTGATCACAAGTATGATCTTTATTTGAACACTTAAGAAATTGCATCATTATATTTGAGCTACCATAAGATTTAGTCATTTTCCTGTAAAACAAGAAATGGAAAATGAAAAAAAAAAATTCATATTGCATTCAATTTGTTGTTTTGTTTCTGATCTTTCAGTCAGTCAGTAACAACGTAGAACTTCGTACGTACGTATATCAGGTCGGGTTGCCACACCACATTAGCACAGAGATGCAGTTGTCGATTCGAACCCCGTAGTGGTAGAGTTAGTAAGAGTATAAGCAGTAATCGGAAACTATAGGGTTTGAAGATGTTATTCAAGGAGTATAGTCCAGTGAAATAAATTCGGAAAAGAAAAAAAGACAATGAGGATTCAGATTAAAATTTGGGAGAACACAAAGAGTGGATGAACCTGCACCATTGCAAACGATCTTAAGCCATGTCATTCAAGGTCTCTAACCATCGGTTGCTATCATTTCGCGAACCCCAACCAGGTAGTCTACACGTACCAACATGGCTCAGACCACTTGTCAGTGACTGCATGGATTTCTGCCATGTTTTGGTCTGGCTGCCCCTAGCTTTCTTCCAACCTACTCCCACACCATAAAACATCGCACGTCGGGGCAGTCGGTAGTTATTTCTGATAGAAAAAAAATCAGAATTAACTCAATGAAATAGAAAAGGAATTTCTTTTTGTGAAAAATAGAATAATTAATGTTTACTGCAACAACAATAATAACAACAGTTTGAATATTATAATGATACTTCTGTTTTCTTCCACTTTACTTATTGAAGAGTCAGCTTCCTTTTTTCTACATACGACCATAGACCGATTTCAAAAGAGCTCTAAGCTATTGACTTTGTGAAATACAACGAAAATGTGTTTGTAGGTATCATTACCAAGATTTGATTTGATAATTTCGAATAAATTGAGCATCGGGTAGATTGTTATAAATAAATAATATATTTGTAATATCCCAATGAGTAGAAAAATCAGATTTTCTGACGTTTCGTGACTTAGTGTAAGTCACTTCTTCAGAGAATAAATAACCACTCAGTCTGATCTTATTTACAATTCACGCTATCATTTTACAAATTAAACTCTACCCTTTCTCACCATAAATGTCACACAACAATTTCTCATCCTTAAACAGTACACACATACATACACACAAATTTACGTGCATATCACTTACGAATCACCTTGACCGAAATGACATGACACTAACTTGTTCAGACCTGTTTTTGACTGATCACATATTATTCTTAATGTTCCGTTGTACGATTTAAACTTGGATTAGTTTTATTTTAGTTATTTATTCTCTGAAGAAGTGACTTACACTAGGTCACGAAACGTCAGAAAATCTAATTTTTCTACTCGTTGGGATATGACAAATATATTATTTATTTAGAAAGTGTGTTTGGCGAAAATTCTGATTATTTATTTCACAGTGTTTGCGTATATATATATACTTAGCAGATTTGTAGAAATGCTTAAATTGATCATTTAGGCAAGTATGCTAGTTTATATAATTTTGAAAAGATAACAGTACTATGTATCAGGCGTCTGTCCGACCTCAGAACTAAACCTTATAGATCATGTAAACAACATCTTATATTAGATTACAGTTTTTTCAACTTAGCTGTACGCTTCATGAAGTATTATCACTAATGCTGATTACTGTCAACAGTCAAGAAGCACGTTATACGGAACCCTTAAACTGTAATGAAATTATGTTGTTGAGAGTGACTTTTATGCTTTTTTCCGTACGAGACGAGTAAAATCCTTCATAACCGCGAAACCAAATAGATTTTGGAAGATTCTTAGATGATATCATCAAAATAGGTCATCTGTTAGCTACTAACATAAAGTAAGATTACTTTTTCCAGCAGGAATAATAGATTACAAAGTATTCAAAAGTAGTAAAGTAAGTTAGTAATGTAGCACTGGAACACTTTCAGGTGTATACATAATTTTAAAATATTTTAACTCACTTGTGTTCTTCTTCACTAATCGGTTTAATACAGTTAGGCTCGTTATACGTGGAACTGTTGACCTGAGATGTAACGGGATATTTAATGACAGACACATTGTCCAGTTCGTCTGCAAGATTGGTGAGAAATTCATATGCCTGAAATTATAGTTTACTTATTTATTATGTGGAAGCTAATCAGAAAAGATTTTTGCAATAGAATAGGAAAATATAAGAAAAAATGCGTTCTTTAGGATTGTCCCGACCGTTGTTTGCTACCTTGATGTGGTGGTCATGCTTGCCTATCGTGATGAAGCAACTGAGCTATACTGGCTAGAATAACCGTTCCTCAAGGTCCTACCATGCCAGACAGGTCGGTTGAAGAGCGGTAAGACTAAAAGCAACAAATCCAAGGTCTGAAGGCGAAGTCGTACTGCTGACTGTACAGAGGTGTGACAGCAGTAAGGTGTTTCCTTCGGGCAACTAGCATAACAGCGATGCTGCCTTCCCACAATGAGGGGAGGGCTTAGAAAAGGTCGACCCTAAAAATGCACACCTCGCCTTATCCCAGGGATATCCGCCTCCGGCGGTAAGATCTCAACAAGTACGGAGCTAATTATTTATTTTAACACATAGGTATTGGTGCAAGGAGGCACCAAATACATATGAGCCACACAAATCTTAATTGATTTGTGTGAGGGCTGTGATACTGCCCGGGTGCCCAAACCAAAGCAGGTGGTTTTCTTAGGGGGACACACCCCGAGTCTTCGACCTGAACGTCTGACCCACAAGGCAGTGGAGCATCGTAAGGAGATGCAGTCCCATGGTAGCCGGTGACCAACAATTGGTTCATACGCCATTTGTTCCCTCAGGATCCTGGAGCCCATGTGCACCATTGGTTAGGGATCCGGTTAGAGCGCCGGAAATTCGCTTTTCGTCCTCTCATTTTCGTAAACAACAGTAATGCCACGAGAAGGCAGTGAGTAAGACTTCCCTGGCAGAGGCTATATACGCGTGGCCATGTGAGAGCATTTCGAGAGGGAGAGCGGACTCTCCTCACTCTCGGCCGTACCAGGGCATTTGGGGGCCACGGAGCCAACACAAAAACTACTCATAGAAAGGTCGTGCGTGACTGAATTCTCGGGCACTGATTTCCTACCAGGAGGTTCACTTATCGACTTAGAATACGCAGATGACATAGTCCTGTTTGGTGAAGACGCTGGTAAAATGCAGAGTCTTTTTGTAGCATTGAGCAACAATGCCAGAATGTTTGGGATGCGCTTCTCTCCCTCTAAATGCAAGTTGTTGCTTCAGAACTGGCCTGCGTCAACACCTGAACTAAGGATAGGGAGTGAAGCAGTCGAACGCATTGACAACTTCACTTATCTTGGGAGTCTGATCAACCCTAATGGGTTGGTGTCTGACGAAATCTCAGCACGGATTCGAAGAGCTCATTTGCTTTTTACCAATTTATGCCGCCTATGGCGAAGGCGAGATATCCGTCTATCAATTAAAGAACGAGTATACTGCGCGGCAGTTCGTTCCGTTCTACTCTATGGCTGGGAAACATGGCCATTAAGAGTAGGAGATATTCGTAAGCTACAAGTATTCGACCACAGACGCCTTAGAAATATTGCTCGCATCTTCTGGGATCACCGGGTAAGTAATTTTGATGTTAGACGTAGGGCATTAGGGAATGATGGTAAATCAGTTGATGAGGTTGTGAATCTTCATCGACTGACATGGTTGGGCCACGTGCTGCGTATGCCTGAGCACTGATTACCACGACGCGCAGTGCTAACCGGTGTTAGGGATAATTGGAAGAAAGTTAGGGGCGGCCAAACCAAAACGTGGCACCAGTGCTTGAAGACACTAACTTCTGGTCTGAGCCATGTTGGTAGATGCAGACTGCCTGGTTGGGATCCGCGTGACTATCGTAACCAATGGTTGGAGACTCTTGGTGACATGGCTCAGAATCGATCACAATGGCGTCGGTGTATACACTCTCTGTCTTCCTTCAAACTAAGAGATTAAAATCGCTTCATATTTTTTTCTTTCTACGAACTAATTCTTTCTTCCTGTACTATCTCCTTATATGCAATCTTTCTTCTATATATTACCACCATTGAATTAACTACTATGAATCCGGTGTTCATCTTGTTGTGCTAATGCGGTATGGCAACTTGGACCGATGCATATATGTGCCTGGTCCTACGTTGCAGCTGACTGACTTTAGCATAGTTAGTAGTTGAACTGTTTTCCGTAAACATGATTCTGTCTTCATATTTAAAGTATAGAAATTATTGTAATTTGATATTACGTGGTCAAAGATCTACCCACAAAGCCGTTTAATAGAACTAAACTTACTATGACTCACTTTAATTGAGACAGATTTCAACTATGCTTTTTATGTATGCATCGGCTAAGTACAATAACAATGATTACGATAACAGACTGATAACTAAGGATCATTGGGTAGGTGCTTCATCTCTAGCAATCGTACAGAATTTTGTGTAGATATTTATGAGTTACAGTATGCTAATAAATATACAGGACATTTAACAAATGCAATGAATCATCCATTCATTCAATTATTTTTTGTTTACAGTAGTTCGAAATGTAGGCGCATATTATTGAAGAGTTTCGAACTAGGATCAAAAAGCTTTTTAGAGTCTTTTGGTTCTCGGAAATTCTCTAGCTGATATCACTTAGTGATTGTCATCGTAATCATTAGTAAACTGGATTGATTACAAGGAAAATATCACTGTCTCAGTCGATAAGAACTATCAAACTTGCTGATAATTCTAGTAATTATCATACCTTCAACTCTATCCAAAGGTTTAAGAATAACAGCAAACTAATCAAATACCCACCAACCAAGCTATCGGGTGACAATTGTAACAGTAATAGCTTTATTAAACACTCAGTGATTAGGATGTTATAATTTGTTCCAGGTAGTGAAAGTTATAAAACTGCAATAAATACAAAGTTACACTTTATATCTTATGAGAATAAGATATTTCTTCGTATACACGACTTATAGATTCAATGAAAATGAATGCCGAATATTCAACATTTTTGACTAATTTAAACTCAGTTCTATACATTGTGTCAACGAACTTGAGATTGTCAGACGATTTGGAAGTACATTAATGTAAAGCACTGACCAATAAAAAAAGTTTCTGTTTTTCAATTCCTAGCTTAGTTATTTAAACCGTTACTTAAACCGTTTAAGATAGTCATAATTGGGTGATTAAGTAATTTTTTTAAAAGAAATTTTAAACTGGTAGTTGTAGAAGGATGTTTTCAGCTTTTGAAGTCAAGTGTTCTAAAAAATCACTGGATTCAGAATGTAGTTTGTGTAGTGACTAAAAGTTATATAATCGAGGATCAAACAACGTTTCTTAGGTATTATCTTAATGACTATTTACGATTATCAGCTTTGGTGTTTCTTCTTAAATTTTGGCCACATACATCAAATTAAAATTCAACAGTGGCAAAAGCAATCGTCTCAATAATCTTTAGGATAAAACTGATTTCATAAGGTTAACATTAGTTCTTAAAAAGTATCCTTTAGTTTAACACACTACACAACAATAAACACGGAAGAATGAAAGTAACGGTCATTATTTTATTTATTTAAAAAATAAAAGTTAAAACTAAAACGTATAGAAATCTAAACTTTGTTGAACTATACTTGTTTATAATTGGATTCAGAGGGATCCAGCCACTCATAAATATCATCATCGTTATCTAAAATGATCTTAATTCAGAAAACAAATTAGCAAATAATAATGTAGTATGAAACATACAGGCATTCTTGAATGTACATCTGCCATGATACCCTTTGAACTTGTGGTTATTATGGTATATGAATACATCTACACAAACAAGTTTAACACATCGAGAGATTACCTGTTTCTCATAATTATGAGCAAACAAACCTGCCATCATAAGCAATTTCTCAGGATCTTCAAGCATAAGTAGAGATCTAAAAAATAATAGTATGATTACCTGAAGGACGGAAATAAAATGGTTGTTTTTTCTTGATTCCAACTTTCCATTCATAAAATCTGAAAAGAATTAATAGTCTTACGTAATAAGAGTTGAATTTAGACAGGATAGAAGTGATCAAAACAAACTATTACAACATTTTATTTACAAATAATGAAATTACGTTCATTATAAAAGCTTTCTAAAATATGAAAAAGAAAATAAGTGACTTCTGGTTAACAAAACTAGTCATAAGTAGTTTTAGGCTATATTGTTCATGAAAGGTATACAATATGAATTCATAAACTTTGAAATGGGAGTCAAAAAAGCCTTAGAGATGATGTTACAGATTATTGTAAATTTTATAGTTTATCACTAAATATTTACATGGTTTCCTTAAAACCTATTTTTCATCTCCACGCAATCCAGGTGATGCTTTAGACAGGCAGATGATTGAAATGTTCATTTAACACAACGATAAGAAAATCGATGAGCCACAATTTTTATATAAGAACAGAACCGAGTTAAAGACTTCTGGACGAGAAGTTTTACTACCAAAGGAAATGGATTGTAATAACTAGAAGTCAGACAGCATTATGCCGATACATCATGTTTTAAATCTTTATAATAATGATTGCGTATTGTTTTCCGGTCGCTTTAAGATAATTGCGAATTAAATGATTGGTCCATTCTAATACAGATGGTTTTATTGCGGACCCGATAATGGTAGCTGGCACACAACATTTCAAAAATTAGCCATTAATATGAGAAGAAGTACGGGAAAAACTTGGTATTCAGGCAAAACAACTTGAAGAAGTACGACTTAGTTTATAGTGACGAAAGCATGGCGAACTAAACGTAGAAGCAACCAACCGAAAAAAGGCACGAATCACACCAAATATCGGATTAGGAGAAAAAGCGCTTGCGGTTGCCGTTACCAATAAGACTTCAGCATTATCAATAAAAATTAAGTAACCGCTTAATCACCTTAGCAGGTAGTTGTGAACATATAACAATGACCAGATAGTGTGGAGTCTATAATTTAGGGCTAGTATCTTTATAAAAATTATATATTTCCTTATCGAAAGAAATGGAGGTATGAGTATAATTCATGAGCTGTTTCAGCGGGTTTAATAAAGAACAGTTTCGTATTTTCAGTTGGGGTAAATAAAGGATTATCTTGACTTGTAAATAAACAAATTAATGTGGTAATGTGGCAACATTTAGGAAAATAATTAGAGAAGTTTTGAAAATCGAGGAACAAATTATGTTATATTGAAATAGATAAAAATTACTAAATAAATGTGAAGGAATGAGATATACAGAAGGGTGGAAAGCAGATTGATTATGACTTTGATTGATTACCTCCCCAGATAACCGGTTCTTGATTTACAAGTATGACAGACAGATTCAACTGCTATAACTTAAATCTATCTAAACTACAAAGTACCTGACCGTCTATTGTCCGAATGCAGTATTTTATTCTACTAACTGCCTAATTAGGTTTTCTATCTCACTATGAACTGATCAGTAGTATAATATATGAGTAGCTATTTCTGATACGTAAAAGCTAATTAGATTTGAGTAAATCTTCAAAAATGAAAATACTAAACTAACAGAATCCCAAGTTTTTGGTAGTTTTTGTTTGGGTCTTTAGTAGCAACCAATCAAAAGAGGAATCGTTGGTTTTGATCATCATTTGTCGTTTTGAAACTCATAAACGGAATTTCTTATGGCAGAAAATAAGTTGGTCTGTAGTCTATAAATTTAATCATAGGTATGCTTATATTTTATATACATCCTTATCGCGTGGCAGGCAGATAGTCGTAAAGTAAAATCTTGAGTAAATGCAGCTGATATACAAGCGATGACTAATTCAGACTATGCGATTTGACCATCAAAACACGTACCCTTCTATCAAAATAGAGGGGTGGTTAGATGGCTCGGACAATTGACAACTGACGTTTTGACTGTGTTTCAAACTATTCAACAAGCTACGGGTGAATACATCACAGTTAACCTTCTTGATAGCATATCTTACAGCCTATTGTACCAACTGCTACGTATTTACAGAGTTCTACCGTTTTTAGCTAAACTTTAAGTTTATCAGTATTAGTGACAGGCATTATGGGATGACTTACCCTTGAACTACAACTACACATCGTTTGCCTTCTTGCAATGAACACTTGTAAGAGCGTTTATCTAATAATGATTCGATACGAGCGTTGAAGGTGTGAAAAGTGGAAGTCGAGTCTCCATGAATAAACGCAGGAATTAAACCCCAACGCATCACCTGAAGTGAATGTCCTTTGTCCTTTGTATCGGTGAACTGGTTTGAAACTAGAACTGGTCTAAATGAAATTTAAAAATATGAAATAGTGTTTTTGTGTGAGGATGATTGTCAGTCAAAATCCATCAGAGTAACACGTTGATAGTAGTCCGTAGTAAGTCGTTCACGAATGAGCAGCTGTATGTTTAACGAACAGCAAGTAGTTTGAACAATGGTCCAGATAACAACTGGTGTCTAATTAAGTGTAAAACGACAGAACCCTGAGATAGGTTAAAGTTTCATATCATGATTTCCTTAGAGATGACTATGATAAATGCAGAGAACTATATCCAACCACTTATCGTTTGATGAGCTCTAAAAATCCAAACATCAACTTCGATACTGGCAACAATCTGTTAAACCATTTCTTAGCTATACAAATCATTGTCATTCTAATATATGCGGCAGTATGGAAATATAATTTGCAAATATATAAGCCTATTGCAGTGTGGCTGATTATCTAAGCGCGAATCTCATGAAACAACGTTTTTTACCAATAGCTAAGTTAGATTACGACCAACTAAAATGAACAATGCCAGAAAACCTTCAAAACATGTAGCATTCTGCGTAATGAAACACAGACATGCACTGGAATACACGCTTCTAGGAACAAGTGCTAAGTTTGACATACACTAACATCCAGACTAGCCAGTCAGAATTTGAAAGAAAGGAATCTTGAAAAGATTTCACATTCCACAAAACGAATTTCTCTCCATGACTAGATGGACATTAAACAGACGAGATTCCAGAAGTAAACACAGTAGGTATAATAGTGCATTTTTGATGTTATACATATACTATTACCAACACATAAATTTGAAACATTTTTTAGAAAACTTAACGATGTTAACAATACAGATGTAAGTTTTTTATTGCACCATATCATTGTATATTGTAACTATTACTTTTCATGAGATATAAAAAAGTCCGGCCATCTTCACAACTACTTGAACCATTTTTAAGCTTTCCTGTTTAGAGTACAACAGAATCAAATTAAGAAGACTTAACATTTACTTCCACACTTGCTTATGTGTAACTGATGAGTTAACATTGTTTATTATAAATAAGTCAGTTTGTTTTGACTAATCTCTTTAATAAGACTATTTTTCGTTATGTTGAAAACAACGAGATTCATATGGTTGCATAGTTTTTGGTAATTGTCATACTATCAAAATATAACCGTATACACAATATTTTAGATAAATGTGGATGGATAATCCTGGATAAAAAATAGACCTTTACCGAAGTTTTAAAAAAGAGACCTTTTCAGATAAATTTCTATGAAAAATATTTTTCTATGCACCTGAATAAAATGTTACTTAAACATCTAGTTTCTCAAAAGCTTGTATAGAACTTTATAACACAACTTTGCAATATTTGCCTTAATTTTGACCGAATTCTCTTATAAAATGATGTACATAATCACATGTGAATACATATACGAATCCTCATAGGAATAGTCACTATCATTAAGCCAACAGAGCTTCAGTGAATAACGCCATACAGCTAACTTAAGTGACCATTAGCTTCTAAAGGAGTTGTCCTCCTTGTAGTGCAGATATCCACGATATAATACCAATGCAAGCTGTTTTAATAAATAATACGAATTGTAATATGAGTTAGACAGAGATAAATTTATCCAAAATATATACAATAAACCCAAGACCTCATCATATTAGCTTTGAGAATGTTAGGCGAGGAACAAACATACGTGAATGATCCTGGAGATATATTATAAGACGGATTATACTTTTGACCACCAGGAGCATTGCGCCAGCTAGGTTGCCCTATTTCTTTGCTGTTACGAAGAATAAGCTGGCATTTGGCACATATCGTGCTCGGCTCCAAAGCACTAAATGTAATCCAAACTAAAACCACATGTTACCAAGCTGTCCTGCCACACATTTACTCAACCTTGAAAAATTTAACATTCCTTCAAGGTGGCTCTTCACTGGCCAATATTTTTCTGATGGAATCCATCGGTAGTTGATACCACTATCTCAAGGCGGCAGTTTCGAGGATTGTTGGTTTTCTGTGCTAGTGTAGGTGCAATTAAAATTGTACGCTATGTATGTGTATTTTCTCTGATTTGATTCTGTTTAGTTTATAAGGCATGTTTATTTTCATTCTACGGTTTGCAAATACTCGATTAAGTATTCTATGTAAACTAGTATTGCTTGATCTGAAGATTAACCTTCAGATTGTGAGACCGTTCTCACTATTTAACTATTGATTACGTTCATGCCCTAACGAGATAATAAATTAGGTTAGTTCTTGCAACATAATATTCGTTGCGAATCAATAGAAGAATGTATGATGATTCCCGATTCACCGGTCTCTAACGTACTTAAACCCAATTAATTGAGTCAGGTTGTTCAACACATGTGTAACAAAATCTCTATTTCCTGGTCACGTGATTGTGGTTTTAGGTGACTTAGTTGTTTTTGACTAATGCTTATGAAATGCTTTACAGCGGGGTCGCGAATTTGTAGTTCTCGTTCTGTGTATGTTAGTGGTTTATCATCATAGCATTACTGTCAATACCGAATTGTAGATTCAGACTTCTCTCTGATAACTTGTTTGCGGAACGTTTTCGTAGAAGTACCTCGAAAATCTATCGCTACAAACTGAGTACACAAGTCTAATAAGTTGTCAATCAAGTAAAGCTAAGAACTTATAACAAAAGTTTAAGTCAATATCCCGAATCGAAACATAAACCTCTTACATGAACTTAAGTAGTACAATTTTCAAGACAGATTCTTCAAGGTTTAGCACTAACTGTTAAACCTCACATATCAGTCAGATTTTTAAGACAGCAGGTCGAGATTTTAAATAATTCATTATATGTTCTCAGGTTATTCTGTTAATCAGTACTTGACTCTATTTATCAGTACTTATTTTAAACTGTTATCCGGTCAATGTGAGGAAAGTTTGAGGACAGTCCCACTATCTAATATCCTTCTGAAGTATTTAAAGGGAGGAGATACATAAAGTTCTGTCAACTAAGAGCACTAAAGGTTTATGTACCGGAATAATGTTAACATTCAAAGCAATCATTCTGGATGTAATACTTTTGCTAAAATACATTTCAGCTGACCATAGAGGTTGAAAGAAAACAAATTAATAAATTTTACTGATTCAATGTAACCTATAATTCTCAACATAAAAGTTGTTATCTTTGTCATGCTTAATCATTGAAATGAACACGAGGTCCAATAAAGAGGTCAAGGTGGGATATAGAAACGTTAACCGAAATTATGATACTGAAAAGAATAAAATTGTGCATCATGCCTTGTTTTTCATAACATTAGTCCCCTTGGCTCCACCACATTGGTAGCTGGATTTTCTTGATATGGACTCTACATTTTTGCACCACTTCACTAATCCGCGCCTCAATTTTGTATTTCCTAGACCGTCCATAATAGTTGTTCCATTGTCCAACCAGTATACATAAGTTTTCCTTTTCATTTTTCCTTCACAGTTTCTCACTTGACACGAGTATTACTGTTGTAATTTGTTAGGTTCCTGAAACTTAGTTTAGTCCAAACTACTTCATTAATAGCATTACTGTATAAGTTGTATTATTATTTATTTATTTTCTATAAGCAAATAAAAATAAATAATAATACAAATTTTTGCAAGGAACTCCAACTCTTGAAACGTTGCAAATCACCGGGCCCAGATGACTTACCTCCGGCTCTTTTTAAAGATGGTGGTGACTTTCTGACTAAGGGACTGACGACGTTGTTTACAAAGATCTGGGAACTAGAGAGTGTACCAACGTCATGGAATAAGTCGATAGTTGTCCCTATCTTTAGAAAGGGTTCACGTTGTTCCTGTAACAACTATCAGGGGATAAGTCTACTTCCGATTGCGTCCAAGCTATTGGCTTCCGTCATACTTCGTAGGTTGTTCAGAACCTGAGAAGGATTGACTCGCGAGGAGCAGGCTGGGTTTCGTTCTGGTCGAGGATGTATTGATCATATCTTCACCCTCCGCCAAGTGTTAGAACACCGCCATACTTATCAAAGGCCAACAATCGTAGTGTTTCTTGATATCAGGGCCGCCTTCGATTCGTTGGACAGAACTGTTCTCTGGGATTGTCTATTGAAGAAGGGTGTGCCTGAGAAGTTTATTAACATCCTAAAGGCTTTATACACAAACACCTCAGGCAGAGTGAGGGCATACAATCACCTTTCTCCACTATTCCATTCGAGCAGTGGGGTTAGGCAGGGTTGCCCAATCTCACCATTCCTCTTCAACTTTGCCATCGATGACATTCTGGAAACAGCTCTGACGGATGTAAGTAATGGTGGTGTGGATCTGTTGCCTGGAGAAAGACTTCTCGACCTTGAGTATGCGGATGATATTGTCTTACTGTGCGAGAATGCCCAAGCCATGCAATCCGCACTTAATCAGTTGGCAATCAGCGTCCGTAGGTATGGTATGTGCTTTGCACCTTCGAAGTGCAAAGTACTTCTACAAGACTGGCAGGATTCTAATCCTGTACTCACTCTGGATGGTGAGCAGATTGAAGTAGTCGAGAAGTTCGTGTATCTAGGTAGCTGCATAAGTGCTGGTGGTGGTGGTCCCGACCGTAGCTGCTACCTTGACGTGGTGGTCGGGCTTGCCTATCGTGATGACCCAACCGAGCTATATTGGCTGGAACACATGTTCCCTCAGGTTCTACCATGCCAGGCAGGTCGATTGGAGAACGGTAAGACTAAAAGCAGCAACTCAAGGTCTGAGGGCGAAGTCGTACTGCTGACTGTACAGAGGTGTGACAGCAGTAACGTGTTTCCCTCGGACAACCAGCATCTGCAGCGATGCTGCCTTCTCACAAGGAAGGAAGGGGTTAGAAAAGGTTGACCCTAAAAATGTCACACCTCACCTTACCCCACGGATTTCCGTCTCCGGCGGTAAGGCCCTTTGAAGAACGGAGCTAACACATTAAAAACCTCCCACAAAAAGGCCGTGCGCGATCGGCCTCAAGCAGTTGTCCCTTGGGCTCTGCGGTCACGCACTCAGGTCGCTAAGACCAACACTAATCCGATTTCCTTTTCAGGTCCCCCAAGAAATACCCTTCCACGGTGTGGGCAACCGGGAAGTGATATCAGCCCTCATACCCGTAACAGCACACGAGACCAAGTTGGTCACATTCAAATCCTTCCTACACCTCCTAATAACTCCCTTATCTCCACGACTAACCCTTCTCACGTCCCTTTATCACCTCGCCCCGCTAGTGCGAACGATTCGAGTACGCGGAATGTTATTCCTTGTCTCCTGAAACCACGCTCCAAACTACACGTAGGAGCTTTCAACGTCCGAACACAGTGCCAAATAGGACAACAGGCTTCCTTAGCTAAGACTTTAGAATCTCGCTCCATCGATGTGTGCTGCGTCTCCGAAACGCGCACACAGGATCCTAGTAGTGTCATTCATTTGACTGCACCATGTCAAAGTAACGAACCAACTCGATTTACGCTTCGTGTATCTGGAAGCCCTGATGCTGCATCCCGTGGCCTCGCTGGCGTAGGTATAGCATTGAGTCCTAGGGCAGAACTAGCTCTCTTAGACTGGATCCCAGTAGACAGTCGTTTGTGTGCTGTCCGACTAAACGGAACAGTAAGGATTCGAAAAGATAGGGACACTCGTCGTTGCCTCTTCGTCGTCTCTGCCTACTCTCCCACTGACTGCAGCTCAGATGATGTAAAAGATGAGTTTTACAGAAAGCTTTCCGACCTTCTCCGAAAAGCTAGGCGTTCAGATGTAGTAATAGTGGCTGGTGACTTTAATGCTCAAGTAGGTAAACTAAGCGAAAAGGAAAGACACCTGGGTGGATCTGATGGTGTCGCGGCTCAAAGAACAGATAACGGCGACCGTCTGTTGCAGCTATGCTCAGATAACCGCCTGTTCCTTGCAAACACTAACTTTAAGCATAAGGAAAAACATCTTTTGACATGGCGACCCCCTAATTCGTCTCAACGCTGGACCCAAATAGATCACATCTCTATCAGCCACCGATGGAGGGGCTCGATAGAAGACTGTCGCTCATTCTGGAGCACATGCTTAGACTCAGATCATGCTCTAGTGCGAGCGCGTATCTGTCTACGTCTTACTGGACGTAGGAAACATGCTGCAAGGAAACCCCTTAGGGTCCTACTTAATGATAGTCAAGCTAAGAGTATATTTCAGGAACATCTAGAAAAACAGTTAGGCAGCCATGTAAGTGATACCCACCCCGAGGCAGCATGGAATGACATCCGAAAAGCTGTAGAAACAGCAGTGATGTCTGCAAGTACGGTAAATCATAAGGTTAGGGAGAAACACTGGATCTCAGCAGCATCTACCGCACTGATAGATGCTCGAAAACTCATTCCATCTGGCTCTGAACATAACGAAGAGCGGAGTCAGCTTAAGCGTAAGCTGACTAGAAGCCTACGCAAAGATCGTGAACAGTGGTGGGTAGCGAAAGCAAGAGAGATGGAAAAGGCAGCGGCAATAGGTAACAGCAGGCAACTGTGCAGACTTGTTAAGGAAACCGGTATTAGGAACCCAACTGTTAGCGAAACAATCGCAGAGAAAGATGGACATATTATTCATTCTCAATCCAGGAGATTGGATCGATGGGCAGAATACTTTAGGGATCAGTTCAACTGGCCTTCAGCCACACTTCGGTTTCCCACGATCCCCAGTCGACCTGAATGGCAAGTTGATGTAAGTCCTCCGACTCTTTACGAAGTTGAAAAAGCTATAGGAAATCTGAAGCGTGGGAGAGCAGCAGGCCCTCACAGGTTTACCCCTGAGATTTTTAAGGATGGCGGTCCAGTATTAGCAGCGAGATTGACTGAGGTCTTAGGTAGAATCTGGGAACTGGACGTAATCCCATCTGACTGGTCTCAATC